CTACCTACCCAACCAAACATGCCACTTCTCCCTATGCAACTATCTGACTCAACCTCGGGAGAGAGATCACAAAGGAAGAAACGGACCGCTATCTTTTAACCTACCTACAGTCCCCTAGAGTAGGTACTTTCATCATTCCGCACACCTCCCCCTCCGTAATAGATAAGCCAACGTATGGCTACAGCTGCACCTGCACCTGCACCTGCAAATCTGCTTGTCTTACCAGCCCCCGATAGGAACAGGCACGCACGGGTTACACTACATGCTGCATCTGCACTTTTTGCTTTTCCGGAGAGGAGAATGCTTCCCCGCGACCCCTACCCTAACCCTGCCGTTATATTTCTTGGTCCAAGAATCTGCATGTTTATCGTCAAGTCACTTCTCACATCGAGAACACGAGCCAGTCCAGATTGATCTACCTACCCGTGCGGCAACTAGACCGATCGGGTTGAGCCTTGTTCGGGGGGGGGAAGGGAAGTGGGGTGTTCGTACTGTATAGTAACGAAGAGCAAACGCCTTGAACGGACTGTATGTATGCGCGCTGAACCGTGGTTGAACTGAATCAACTCAACTCAACGGGGCTACATCTACATGTTTCTGCCCGCCATCCGAATCTAATAGTCCTGTTTCCCCGCCAAATGATAAAGCGCCCGCCAATCGCACGCACAGTCAGTCGATTTGTATGTAGCGAACCACGATGCGATGGCATTAAGGGTGAGCAAAAGCAAGAACAAAGGCTTGAGCGAGGAGACCGTGCCCACCTTGGCGTAGCTGATCACAGCTTGATCAGGCAAGCGCCACCAATACTTAAATACAGATGAGAGCGGAAGGCTTTATATCCTTCCGCGAGCGACATGCGTGTATGTACATGGGATGAAACAGAAGCAATGACTTTACTGTACGAAAGCCCTTGAATCAACGGCTGTGTTTAACTTAGAAACAGGGTCTAATGGCTTCCGCCACCAACTTTGAGTGGGGACCAGTCAATTTGCAGTCCTGATCTTTCGCAAAAGGTACTGTACTTCGTACTCTTTTGAACCTTTTCGTTTACTTGAGAAATGTGTTAGCTCGATCATGTAGATACTCACCGCCGGGCTTGCATATTACGTCTGTTCAAGGAAACTTAAGTATCGTCTATGCATGATGTACTATCTCCATCGTATACTCCTTACTCTGGAGTCTGGAGTCTGGAGTCTCTTAACAGACTAAATCGAGCTTCTCAGACATGCATTGCAGAACCGTTGGTGGCTACTCCCGAAGGTATATGTAAGGCAACATTTCTGCAACTGAAGCCACTTATAGAGATCTACAGTATGCAATTCCTTGCTCAGCTGAGGAAGCCAACTGAAGGTTCAGTATGAAGTATAGCAGAGCTCCCCTTCAAGAACACCCAATCAGCAGAGGCACAGCCAGCCAACTGACAAGGTCACTGAAAGTTCTTTCTACTTGCCACGTGCCAAATGCTCATTCTTCTCTACCGTACGGCGTACAGCAGAGTCGTAGACACATCTTACCCCGCACCCCGCCGCCCTTCCAGCCCCCCTAAAATCCCTCAACACCAACGACAGCCCCCCCCTCAAAAACCTCCCCTATCTATCTCTCACACGACACAACCTCAAGTCATACAATCAATCTTTCACCTCACTCTACTCTATCACCCAGACCTTACCCTCCCCTCCTCCCAAACATGCCATTCCCACAGAGTTATTCTCCACGAACCCCAGAATATGCAATTCCATTCCATGAATTCCCGTGATACCCTACCCTGATTTCCAATTCCCATCCATCCATCTATCCATCTATCCATCTATCCATCTATCCATCTATCCTTCATTCAACCCGACCATTCCACGTCACTTCACATATCCCGCACTCCCATATCTTACAGTACTCCAAGATACATTGTAATATATAATGCCCGAGATCCCTCCCATCCTACCCTACCTGCGCATCGATAACCAAGCGCCCAGGGACCGGGTAGAGGTGGGTTGATCTGCGCGCACGGCGAGAACGTTCGTTCTTTCGTTGGCAGGCAGGCAGCTTACTCCGTATAATACAATATATAATCACCCCATTGATCTCCATATCCATATCCATATCCCTTCTTCCTTCCCGTACACCACCACACTACACCAGCGTGACATATTCCGTGCCAACTTATTCGTTGCGGATAGAACACGCGCTCTCCATATTCATCACATTATCCATCCTGGCCCGTCAATGAAAATGTCACGGGGCATCAGCATTGGCATTGGCATTGGCAGTTCGAGATCGACCGATCGACCGAAGTCTGGCAGACAGACTGATGGGCCATGCCATGGCACGTTTTACCCAGTATATTCTCATTCGTTCCGTTTTATTTCATCTGTCCTACATCGTTTCCATCCATTACACTGCCTTGCCTCTTTCTGACCTACGAGAATCCAGGCCTAGGCATTGATTGAATCAACCGAATCCAAGCCATGCCTACATTAATCTAGTATATCAAAGAACGAAGACAAGACGAAACGAGACGTGGCTCACATCATCATGCTCGTGCTCATGCTCATTCGAAGCCTCGATTAGCTAGAGCTTGAATCGCGCCGCAGTGTTGAGTTGATTGAACATCGGGAAGGAAAGGTCCGAGATCATCATTCATCTCCGGTTTGTACGCTCGCCTTAAAAGTGTGAATTTCATGAATGAATGAAGTATCCTATATCGTATCAGAAGCAAGCAAACATGACCGGCTATCCATCAAATCTAAATCCACACATCACCTCACTCACCACACCTCACGTATCAAAACCAACCATCCATCCATCCATCCATCTATATACATCTCCCGGAAGAAAAAAATCCTACCCACCTATCATCCATCATCCATTAGACACCAGACCTTCAGACGAACCCGTGTAACCCATCTCCTCTCTCCTCCCTCCTCCCTCCTCCCATCACATCCCCATAACCCCACCTCACCTCACCTCCCCCCCTCCCTCCCAATCAACCAACCACCCTCCCTCAACCCGGACAATATCCCCCCCCTCCCTGCCTATCTAGACACAGCATACACGACCCCAAGCAAGGTACCCAAGCTACCTAAGCTTTCCATCCCAATCTCACAATCCTCATCTCATAATCCCCATCTCATCAACGATCCACGATCCACGGAGCCAGACTCCGTACTCCGCTCCTGTCTGCCCTGCCCTGCCCTGCTTTCCCTTCCCGGAGCTAGGTAGGGAGGCACGTAACGCCCGATTGCTAAACTGAACTGAACTGAACTGAACAGAACACAACAGTGGTACTTCGGGCCGTCAGCACAGCATTGAGGGGAGGGATGAGGTCTAGGCTGGGCTGGGCTGGACTGGACTGGACTGGGCTCGGGAGGAAGGGAGGGAGAGAGGGAGGTTGGAGGAGGGTGGTGTATACAGTTTCGGTTGATTGACCGATACACGTGCTTTCAGGATTTCTCCATGTTCTTTTGTTAATTCTGGTTTCTGGGACTCTTATGTTTTTGAATGAATGCATCTTTACTTCATACTACGTTCTTCGTTCCTCAATACAATCAATCAATACAATCAATCAATACAAACAAACACTACCTAACCTCCAACCCCGCCTCCTTGACTAGCCTATAAAACAATCCCCTCTGCCCCAACCCCATCAGCTCCCTCGGACTCCCAAATTCCTTGACCTCCCCCTGCTCAAGCACCACAATCCGATCACTGTCTAGAATGGTATTGATGCGGTGTGCGATGGTGATGATGGTGCGTTTGCTGAAGAGCGGGGAGCGTAGCGTTGCTTGGAGCAGGGCGTCCGTTTCGACGTCGACGGCTGCCGTGGCCTCGTCGAGCACGAGGATGTTGGAGGGGGTGAGGAGGGCCCGCGCCAGAGAGACGAGTTGGCGTTGGCCTTGGGAGAGATTGGATCCGCTATGGAACGTGGTGTTAGTATAGTGGATGGAATGGGTGAGTGTGAAGGGGTAAGATTTTAGGGGGGTTAAAGGGGGTAAACGGTGAGGTAAGAGGTATGGTGAGAGGCATGTGAGTTCATCAGGGGATGTGATGTTGTGGTGATACGTTGGTCTGCGGTGGAAGGATACAGAGGACATACCCTTCGTGAATCTTAGCTTCGAGACCACCATCCATACTAGCGACGTGATCCTTCAGCCTAGCATGTTCTGTATACCCCATTTCGTTAGCAAAAGCCCCGTGTATGACAGTGCGCCGCTTGAATAGAAAATATGACCCCTCATGTCCCACAAGCCGCCAACACAGAACCAGGAAACCCAAATATTAGACTTACCGAGCACACTCCACAATTCCGTATCGTCGTGCACATGGCCGGGATCGAGGTTATCCCTGATAGTCCCCTCAAACAGAGCCGCATCCTGCGGAATGATAGCCAACCGGCGCCTCAGATCCAGCAGCCCTATCGTCGACGTGTTGAGAGAATCAATGCTTATATTACCCTCCGCCGGTTCGATGATTCGGAACAAGGCAAGCGTCAGCGAACTCTTCCCTGCTCCCGTCCGTCCCACGACACCAATCTTTTCGTGCGGCTTGATGTCCAGATTGATATTCTTCAGCACCAAATCCAATCCTTCCCGATAACGGGTGCTGTATTTGTTGAACTGCACAGCTCCCGCTGCAGGCCAGCTGATTGGTGGCCGGTTTCGGTGGATCACCTCGGGTGCTTCGCTTGGTAGGCGTGCATACTCCAGCACACGCTCCACCGACACAATATTAGTCTCTACCTCGACCGTCTGGCGGACAATCCAGTTCAGGGATTGAGTGATTTGCAGAGCGTACGACATGGCCAACCCGACCAGACCAGCAGATAGATTACTGCCTGTCGAGACAGAGATGATGGCAAAGCCAGCAGCACTGAGGATGATGATTGAACCTAGGAACTCGAGTCGTACAGCGAGCCATCTATTACAGTCAGCCAAGCGTGACTAGCGGTCAACACAAATACGCACCTGTTCGCATTGATCGAGGGGAAGTAAGCCCGTAGATTTGCATCGACGCGCCACTCGTTTTCCATTGCAAAACGCGTCTGCTGCCGGTATGCCCGAATAGTGGTGATGCCACCCAAGGATTCCTGGAAATGCGCATAGATTGGGCTCCGGCTGACAGAGTCTAGACGTTTAAGTTCCCGAGACGTTCGCAGATAGTAGCGCTGTACCCAATAGTAGACCCCAGAGAGGGGTACAATCAGGGCTATGAAAATTGGAGTGGACGACGAGATGACTGCCAGCGTGAATAATGCCCGAGCACTGTTGACGAATAGCATGTTGAAGGTTCTTGCAAGCACCTGATCAAATCAAATAAGTGGCAAATTTCACTGAAATCGTTACACAACTTCACTTACTTCGTCAACACGGTAAATATCACTAAAGTGATTGGTGTCAGTAGGTGTTTCGGGTATTCAAGGTTACACAGCATTCGACTCGACAAACCGGCGCGCATCAACCGGAAAATGCACCTCGGCCCTTTGATCCTATACCACTTGGTCCCCTGGATTCTTGGCGGCCTGATAAAAAGATTGCAGCATGATGCACAATCCCCGCATTCGATCGGTCAACCAGATTTTTGGGATCATACGACACGAGAGATACAGAGCTAGTAGGACAGTAAGGAGAAAGCAGTAAGACATACCTTGAAAATCTATTCAGAATACGTCCAGCTGGAGTACTGCCGTGAAAATCTTGTCAATACACTCCCTTTTTTGCCAGAGTTCAAGACTTACGTTTCAAAAAAGCTCATTGGTGATCGGAATATAGCAAATGCCATTCTCTCATGGAGCTTCCTGGATGCCTGTCCGGAAATTCCGCATCAGCTTCATGCAGTTGCATCATGCAATTCTTAGACCTACCTCAATAGAACAGAATATCCAAAGTATCAAAGTCTGCACGACGACCAGGGCGGCCGAGCCGATGCCGAAACCAAAATATACGCCGATGTACTTGCCGACTTGTGGATTGTGTCCCTCCTTGCCGTTGACTTCGGCCCAGCTCTTGAGCCAAACACTACCCCCTGTAAATGATCAGCATTTGAAACAAGCCGAGATGCGTTTTTTAGATCGCCCATGCACGACGGGACGGAACAAGCCTTGAAATTGAGATCAACTCACCGATCTGTAAAGTTTGTCCACCGATTAACATTAGTCCGTAGATTGCGACAGCAAGCAGATTGCTTGTCTTAGCATATTCTGCATAGACTGTGCAGAAGTCAATTATCAGTATGGATCATGGTTTCATGTACCGGGGCGTCGGAAAGTACTTACCGTTCCACTTTACTTTCCCTTGCTCAGAGAATTCCTTGGTTTGTTTTGTCTTTGCATGTGATTCTTCCTCATCGCGAAGTTTTCCTCGAGGCCCCCTGAAGCTTGCAGAGCTGGCCCGTCTCAGGGTCACTGTGCTTCCCTTTCGCTTCTTGGTTCCTGAGCCCCCGGGTCTGATGGGTTGGAGTTGGGTCAAGTGTTCTTGTGCTTCTTCAGCTTCGTCTCTCTGGAGATCATCTTCGCCATCTTCCGTGTCAATTATGGTAGAGGAATCATCGCTTGAAGCAACTTCAGGCTCCGCAGACTGATCTTGGTTGCCGGCTGTCTTGATAAGGTTTGCGATCTCTCCTTTCATTGCCATGAGCTGGTTGTATGTGCCGCGTTCAATCAATTTTCCATCTCGAAGTAAGCAGATGAAATCAGCTTCCATCAAGACGGGAATGGAGTTTGTAGCCAAAACTCTCGTCTTGCCACCCAACAAGCCGTTTGGTCCGAGCACGTTTTCAATCAGGTGCCGTCCAACGTGTTGGTCCACAGCTGACAGGGAATCATCAAGCAGATAGATATCAGCTCTGGCGTAAACAGCCCTTGCCAATGTCAAGCGCGCCTTTTGACCTCCACTGAGCGAAATTCCACGTTCTCCAACTTCAGTATCATCCCCATCGGGCAACTGAGCAAAATCCTCAGTCAGAGCACAGGCCTTGACCGTTTTGTCATAGAATACTGGATCCCAGCGGTGGCCGAACAAGATATTCTCCTTGACGCTTGCATTCATGATCCAAGCCTGCTGAGCAACATATGCCATTTTCCCATGAACTGTAACTTGTCCCTTGACTTTCCACAAGTCTCCCAGGAGCGCCTGAAGAAATGAGGACTTCCCAGCACCCACTCGCCCAACGACACAGGTAAGTTCCCCCTTAGAAGCGGAGAAGTTTATGTCTTCAAGGGCGTTGCGTCCAGTATGCCTGTCCCAAGAGAAAGTTCCGTCCCGAATAGTCAACGACTCGTCACCAATCTCGTCCACCGGGCCAAGCAAGTTGATTGCATCTGGCTGGAGTTCTTCTGCAGTAAGGAAGGAAGTTAATCTTCCAACAGCGACTGAAGCTTCAATGATGGAGGTAATGACCATGGGTAAGATGGCGAGGGGGAAGGTCAGGAGGTTGAAGAGTGTGAGGGCAGGGAAGACAATATCGGTAGTTAGAGGTGTATCCTGAGTCAATACAAAGACAGTAAATGTAGAACATGAAACCAAGAAAGGAGTAGTAGACCAAGTGAAGTTAGCAACAGCTTGAGCTGCACCAATCTTCCTCAAGGTCTTCAATTCCTGATCGTTTCGGACGTAGTTGAGCTTTTGCATGAAAGCACTCCCCCAGGCGTAGAGTTTGATGGCTTTCATGTTATTAACAATTTCAGCAATCAGTCTGGTACGGGAGTCCTATGATGAATCGGTAAGCTCAAAGCCCATATGCGTAGTTTCGTAAGCGAAATAAAAGGGAGGAGGTTACCTTGTTCTTCATCTGTTGCTTCTGCAATCTCTTCATAAGCCTCGCAATAAGTCCATTAATGGGAATCATCAAGATCATAGCCCCAACACCAGCCAACATAGATATTCCCACAAGCTGATACAAACTCGCCATACATAACACAATCTGGTAGGGTGCAGACCACAACTGCTGACCATATTGGGTGAGATCTTGCAATCGTTGTGTATCAACAGCCATATAATTGACAATATCACCTGTAGACTTCGACGCCCTCCCTTCATTCGACAACTTCAAAGATTTGCCATAAATAGCCGCGGTCAGAGCAGTCTTAATGCGCATCCCCGTCTCAAAGGACCGCTGGAAATACTGATGTAACGCCGTCGTTTGCCCAACAGAAACAGCAAACATGCCCAGCGCAATAGCCGCTCCTCTAATGACAGGCTCGGGCTCCTTCGTAGAGTAGCTCTGCACGAAATTGATCAGAAGCCTCAGCAGCTGAGGTTGAATGAAAGCCAAAGAATCCGACACAATTTTGAACAATGATCCTCTAACATATGGCCCGGAAAACGCCCTGAAGATAGCCATCCACAAACTCGGCCCCCTCGAATGCTCCAACTCCTTCTCCCAAGCCTTCGTAAACGCTTCGCCGGTATTCTTGGTCGTATCCCTTTTTGCCAAATTCCATAAATCATCTTCAGTGAGAAACTTCTTGTACCCATATCTCATCATTGGCGTCATCCAGCTAAAGGTGAGGATTGAAAATACAGTCGCGTACTCAATCGGGCACTCATCCTCATCCTCCAACTGCTGATACGCGCTCTTTTTCTTCGGCACCAACCACTCTAGCCCAAACTCCAGCCACGATAATCCGTACCCGACGCAATAGGCGATAAAGTAGGGTAGGTGTGAAGTGTAGACTTGTTGGGATATGAGACTGCGCAGCTTGACGCTGTAGGCAATGAGCAGGAGGAGCCAGTAGAACAGCACGACACCGTTCGGGTTGCGGAGACGGTTGTGCTCGAGCCATTGTATTGTAAAAATGACACCCAGACTCAACACCGTTATGACACTGCTCCAGAAGCGGAAATCGCCTGCCCAGACGTCGGGGTAGTTTGCTATTTGGAGAACGAGTTGCACGAGGACAGAGGCTGCAATTGCTGCTATGAGGATCTATTTTGAGGTCACGTTTATTAGCTTTCCTTTCTTGCAGCTTTGGACTTGTATCGTCTAGAAGTATACCTGCTTGAGCCAGAAATGCCAATCCCTCTGCACCGCGAACCTATGTTTTGCCCTCACAAGCCACCATACCGCAACGGCACCCCCCAGTATCCCAAACGCCGCCACGCTCGCAACCCAGACGTCCATAAAACACGGTGTGAAATCATATCTCTCCTTACTCAATGGTCCCCATCCCTCCTTATTACCGCATAGCGGCTGTGAGCGCCGAGACTCGGCGGTAAGGTAACCGTGTACTCCTAGAGATGGGTAGGAGTGGAGGCCGGTAAAGGAGCCTGTGTCGAGGAGGGGCCTTTGCATTGCGTCGAAGTTGCAAACGGAGATGGAGATGGGAGAAGAGAGATGACGATATAAATCGAAACCACGGGTACTGTTAAAACACTAGCATTGCTGCGTATTATATCGTGGCGTATTAGAGATTGAGGTGGTAAGTGAACGCGTAATACAAAGATATGATGTTGGGTTGAAGTTCTACACGAGTACAGTAGCAAAAAGAATAGGGCGAACTACCTGAGCTTCGCACGGGATTAAGCTGCCTTCTCCACCGACATCAAAGACCCATGACAAAGCTTCCCCACCATGCATTGCAAGTAAGCAAGCACTTGAAAATTTCAACACTTTTATGAAACTTCTGTATCTTTCATGGAGATTATAAATCGTTGGATCAAGCATTGTTGCAGAGAGAATACTGCGTCTTTCGGTTCATGATGTCGTACAAATAGTACAGATTTAGATCTACAGTATATTACATCCCAGAAATGACCCCTCTTCCCCCTCCTTTCAAGCTTAATCAATTCATATTAGCTTGCATATGATTGGACCGTCCCAATCAATTAACCTTTCAGAGCCTCTTTCCCATTATTTTTCAACCTACCTTACATTTGGGTTCCAGTCTAGTCATTCTACGAAAGCTCCCTAAGGCTTTGTGAGCTTGACTGCAGTATACGTACGAATACTCCTATACTTTAATCACATTGTTAACATTTGAGCAAGATAATCAGTACGATATCCTTGATTGATCAGGGCCTCCTGTGTTAGTCCTCGGTCGACGGCCCAAGCCCTGAATTCCATCTCATGTTGACCTTGATGAGAACAAAACAAATCATATAGTGCTACTACGACTCAATTTTATGGAAAACCTCTCGATTGTTACCTAGGTACCTATCAAACCCATTAGACATCAAAGCAATCTTTGCACACACAGGTGCCAACGAGAACAAAGGCAAAATATTCCTCCGATGATTTTTGGTCTAACACTCTCGGTCTCGATCTCTGTGTCGTCTGATCAAAGAACCCTCCCTCCCGTGCATTCTGTGCTTCCTAGATACCGTAAGAAAAGAAAAGCCCACAGCATGCATCCATATCCGAAATGAATGCCGTGAAGTCCCCTATCAACAGGGAAAAGGAAATAAGAGAGGTAAAATCGATACATGAAGAGAAGAGGCAACGAAAGCCGAAAGTCGTCAATCGTGTGCAAGGGGTATTATCTTGTCGAAAGTCGTTAGACACCACAACAGATGCAGTGCAAAGGGCCGCCCGTTGAGCCAAAAAGAAAAGTATGACGTCTAGTTCTCCCCCACGCCAGATTCTTCCTTCTTGGGAGCCAGACCTGCACTTTGACAGGTCTTTTTCCAAGTCTCAACCTCACGCCATGCTCGCTCGCACTCTGCCTTCAGCTTATCGTTGCTGGCGCTCAGCTCGGCAATGGCTTGCTCAGTCAAGAGCTTCTCTAAGGTCCACTTCTCAATGTTTTGAGTCTCATTCTCCTTCAATTGGGTGATGAAGGAGACGGCACGCTGCAGGATGGAACCCTTGTTCTTCTCACAACCTGGAACGATCTTGGCCAACTCGTTGATACCCTCGTTTATTGTTTCTCGTCGGCGACGTTCAACTATAGTCAGGTCAGCTTCCATCCTTTACCCCCATTGTTTTAAAACTCACCCTCTTTATGGTTGTCCTTCCGGACCTTGTGCCACTCATCAGAACCTACAGCAGGTTTCGAAGCTCGACTTGGAGTGGGGTTCTCCATGAAGCTATCATTTTGTTGACTGTTGTCCATGAATGATGATTCTCCACGATCGCCATCTGAACCCTGCGTCGCGAAGGAGACGTCGGTAGGTTGGGGGATCGTCATGGTCGGGTAGATACCGGCAAGAGCTGCGGCGGCAGTCGAAGAGGCATGCTCAGCGGAGCCGTTCTGAATATCAGGAAGTCCGTGATGGAGATTACTATAATCTTGTAAAGCCTCAACTGAGCCGTCCTGGTAATGCCCAGATTGGTCAAGGGCCTTACCAGAATTGGGAGATACACGCTTGTTATTGGGGCGCCTCGTGTCATCAGCTGATTCCGAGTCCCGCTTCCGCTTCTGCGCAGTATTGCTAATATGTCCCTCCATACCGTTCTCTTCGCGCATGGCATTGGCAACCTCCTGCAAGCCTGACTGTTCGAGATCCATTTCAGCCATTTGAATGGATATGTACGGATCAGGACGCGCCCTGCGATACGACTCGTAGAGGTCGACTGATTAGGGTCCGAGAGGCGCAGATGACCTCGAAGGGGGTTGCTAGGTAGATTTAATGCTCAGATTGAGCTTTTCGGAGAGGTCGATGACGTGTACGGCCGAAGTCTGTACAGGTGCAACGCGTAGGAGGCACTACGATCGTGGATCACTCCAAACGATATGAGTGATTTGGCAGGGCAATATTCTCGAAGCGCTCCGCTGCAGTAGTTCGCAGAGGTTTTCTCGAAACGAACGTTTCTGTGCCTTTTAAAGTAGTACCTACAAGGTCAGCACGTGTCGTTGCAGTTGTTGTAGCACATAGCAATCGCCGCGCTCGCTCATGCGCTGACAGAAAATGAGATGTCCATTGCCTGGTAGCTTTATCCCTGTGGCTGACGCGACATGTCACTGTAACTACGCGCTGGCAGCAGTACAGTGGCAAAGGCGCCTTGCGCAAACAGGAGCGAACAGAGACATTGTTTGACCGCCAGGGCAGTACAAGAAGGGGATTGTAGAAGAATCTCTCGCTGAAGCGGGATGTGACGGAAGAAGGGAGGAAGCAGTTTTTGTGTTTGCAATCCGGTGACAGGAGGGTGATGTGATGGGGTAAGTGCAAGTGCGAGTGAGTGTGAGTGTGAGTGTGAGTGATGGTGACAGTAGGATGGTGGAAGCATTTGTGTTTTTGGGGCAGCAATGAATGACAGGTTGAGCGAGAGCGGTCATGTCCGGCATTGGAGGATTGGAGCACCTAACGAGGGATCGTGACCTCGAAATGCGGTCGCGTGGAAGGACCAAAACCCAGGTACGGGCCTCCCCCACGATTCGTTACACCAACAGAGGGTTGTGACATGAAGACGAACGCAGAGACGCGAACTTCTTGATGCACTCCTGTGTGAAAGGGGTAACAACAATGGAAAAAAGGGGAGAGAAAGACGAGGAGAATGGCAGGTCAAAGGAAAGGCATACCTTGGCTTGGGTAGTTTGTTATCTTCCTTCACTTCACTTCACTTCACCCGAGTCTACAGCCGATGTGATGTATGCGACGCGACTGTCCGAATATCTGCCCACAACGCGTGCGAATATGCGCTTTGGACAATGAAGAGTATCGTAATATGGACGGCAGGTCAAATAAAACAGAATCCAATGGTCTGTTAGATGTTTGGCCTTGCGCTTCTTGTATGGGCGATGCGATGGTGGTGAGGAGAAGTCTGCTGACCTGAGGATCACGAGCTGATCACGAGTGCGTCAAGTCCAACGCGAATTGGTCGATGGATAGCTTGGTCCGGGAAAAGGGGGGAACGAATATGCAGAAGAACTGTTTGGAGAAGGTGCGAGACCACGTATGAGACAAATCGACACCCTCTTTTGCTATCAAAAGGCTTGAGATTTGGTGATGAGGAGGTCGAAATCCGCACGTGTAAAAAGAAGAGGAAGGTCATGTGGTTGGGAGAGGGCGTATGCGCTAAGGGCCGGATGACTAAGAATATGCACTAAGCATGTCGGCAAGAGGGAATAAGTGTTTTGCCGAGGCGATGACGATGTTGGGCTGGCGCAGATGGGTTGCCGTATTCGATAAGACATTTGATAAGGAAGGATAGGAGTGGAGCTAGGAGGGAGGGGAGGGCAAGGGGGAAGAGGGGAGTTATTGGCTTGGAAGTATAAGGACTTTTTCGTTTTGACGGGTTATTTGGAGTGGTAAATGATGGAAGGTATAAGATAATCTGTCTAGGTAAAATCCCGACTTGGAAGTTCAATTTGTTACCACTCGTAAGCACTTGGTCTACCGACTCTATCGAATAGCACTTTTTCCTCATACAGCCTGCCGTAGCCATACTCAGAGCTTGACAGCTACAGCTTCACATACAACCAACTGATTGATACCAACCCCATATGACCATAACTACATCTAAACAAAAACAACTGACTCACGCCTACCCAAACAACCACCACCTCTAGTTCTTCTAGAACCTCTATCAACAATCACGAAAAGTACAATCCCCAGCAAGTACCAAGTGTACCACAAACTTGAAGCTTTCGTTCTACCGCATGATACACCCCCCGCCACCTTCAACACCATGGCAGACCACATAACCTCCAAACTGAACCCCGATTCCCACCTCATCCTCGTAAGCCCCCCTTTTCCATCCCATCCTCTTTCGTATGTCGAATCCACTAACCTTTCCCCTTCAGGACCAACCCCTCCTCCGTCTCCCATTCGAACTACTCCGCAAGAACTTCAAAGTAGCCCACCTCAACGTCGAAAAAGAAAGCACAGCCCTGAAGTCGACCCTGCGCGAAACTGCGAATGCTTCGCTAAATGCAAACGCCTCCCCAGACGATGTTCTTAAGAACGTAGACTCAATGATAGCGCGCATGCGCGGTCTAAAACGAAAACTCACCGCATGTTCAGAAGAAGAGAACAGGCTACACCAACAAAGTCAAAGCCGAATAAGGCACTTAGGGGAATTGTATGGCATGCAAAGTCTAGATGATGTAAAGTATGAGGAGTGGAGTCGCACCCGGCTGGATCGGTTGCTGGTGGATTATTTATTGAGGTATGGATACAAGGAGAGTGCTGCTGAGCTGGCGCAGGAGAAAGGGATTGGAGAATTAGTGGATGTGGAGACTTTTGTGCAGATGAGTAGGATTAGTGAGAGTTTGAGGGGTGGGAGGGTTACGGAGGCGTTGGCGTGGTGTAATGAGAATAAGAAAGATCTGAGGAGGATGGAGGTATGTTTCATTTGCTTCATCTCAAGTGTATATTTACTGATGAATGTTTTTCAGAGTAAACTTGAGTTTACGCTTAGATTCCAGCAATATATCGAGATGATACGGACACAGGATGAGCAAAAACTTCTCAACGCCATATCCCACGCCAAAAAATACCTCCTTCCTTTCAAAGATACCTTCCCGGGGGAAATACAACAAGTCTACGGACTTCTCGCTTTCCCACCTGGCGTCGGGCCCGATCCTTATGCCGTATGTTTTCTCCCCATCCTCACATACAGTCTCTAATATCGCGTAGGAACTCTATAGCGATAGTCGGTGGTCCGATCTCTCAAACCTCTTCATGCATACACACAACTCCCTACTCTCCCTCCCACCCGTTCCCCTCCTCCACATCGCCCTCTCCGCCGGTCTCTCAGCCCTCAAAACACCCTCCTGCCACTCCTTGCACACTCCTTCCTCCACAGCCTCCATCTGCCCCATCTGCTCCACCGAGCTTAACGACCTAGCTCGGCCCCTACCTTACGCACATCATACGAATAGCCATGTGGACAACGATCTGAAACTGTTGCCGAATGGATGCGCGTATGGGAAGGGGAGGCTGGAGGAGTATGCGAGGAAGGCGGGGTTGGAGACCGGGTGGTATAAGGATCTGCGTAGTGGGGAGGTTTATCGATGTGAAGAGGCTACTACGGTTTATATCACCTAGGTCGAGGTTATGACTGAATACGAATTTCGATTTTCAAGGCCTCTATAACTCCGATTTTCCTTCTGTCTATTAAAACTCGTGTACCATTCTCTACTTTACTCTCCAAAGGATCCGGTGTAGGTAGTCCGACTTGAAGACCCCGGTAATATAGAGAATACCTCCCAAAGTCTGGGACAGCACATTTTCAACTTCCGCACTACATCTTAAATTCCACATACACTGCCTAGTTTTGCACTTTTCTTTCTCTCTCCCTCTCTTACCCCTCTGACTCCCTAAAATTGATGTATATCCCCTCTCCCAAAACAACCCATTTCTCCCTCTCTCCCTCCTTATTCCATCAAACCCCTATAGGCCCCCGCCCTCTTCTCCCATCCTACTATTTATACCCTTCCATCTTCTACTTCTACCGCTGTGGTGGGGTCCAAACGGGCTGTCACGTGAAGTGGGGTATGCAGCTAGCACTGCACCGTACTCTATAAAATCGGGCATTTCTATGGACTTACACTCATCAGCTCTGCCGCCATATGCGAGAGAAGCACCCAGGGTGCATTACAAATCCGAACCGAACGAACGTAGACATTCCCGAAACCGCTGCAGGTCAGAATGCATTGAAGAGATTTGTCCTCAACCTTGGTTGGCGACACGCGAATTTCGTCGTGGAGCCTAGTCGAGGTCCTATCAATGGTCCTATGGACAGATACGCAACTGCCTTGGAGGCGTCGGATTGGAGTCTATATAAACCGCAAACTATAAATATGCTTCACCTGTAGTAATTTCACTACACAAGACCTTCAAGACTCAAAAACTAGATATCGCCTCTGCTTGTTCATTCATTCGTTCGTTCGTTTTTATTGCTGTCATTTTAGAATTTATCGTTATTCTCAGGCATTCACTTATCGTGCTAAAATTTCGGTACTTCTCCTAAGCGGAACGAAAACAATTGAGAGCAAATGAACTGCGAAGTCTATACTGATCTAGGATTTCCCTCCAAGTCACATATGCACAGCAAAGACATACAGATGTTGCGCTCTTGAAATTTGGTATGATGTATATAACTAGAGAAAAGCTCCTTTATTATACCCTGCGCTGGTGCCTGGAACTAGATACATGTTCTCAGTATTTATCAGCTTCTTTAGTAGTGAATATGTTCTCATCATCTCTAGGTTTCAGAGCGTTAGTTTTCTCTATATAATCACAACTTTACCTTCGCTACTTTGCAAGTAGCAAAACTAGCTCTTGCCGATCGCAGGTTCCTGATCTTAAACAACATCTTTTGGAGCTTAACCATGGTCATATACTCCTCAAATTTAGCACACAGTCTTTTTAGCATGCGATGATACGCAAGTGCTGTGTTTTCCGTTCATCAAGATAGTTGAAACTTGAAGGCTGCCATTTCCAGCTCTGCTGTCAATTTCTTGTTACATTCACCTGCTCTAGCTACCACAAAGTTCAGTATAAAGTTGGTTGCACATCTTGAAAGCCAAATAGCTCTACGTTCTATGAGAAGTCGAAGGAGAAAGTGTGGCACTCAGCCATATGTCTTTCCAATCTGGACTTCAATTCCCATGTAACATTTCCCTCCAACTAGCAGGCTTGTGCTTTAAGAACAGAAAACTGGAAGACTCCTACACTATCCCCCAATCCCCATGGAAATCTAGACCTCTTAAAAAGCCTTTTAAGCCGGAATTCATTGCTCAGCACCTGCTTCACCTCGGAATTCCAATCCGCGAATTAGAAGGTAGAGGGGAGGTGGCCATTGCTGCTTACCTACCTGGGTACATCCACAACTCTGCCTCTTTGAGGCTTGTGCCTGTGGTAAAGACTGTCTGTAGTTAACTTAGTCTAGGGGGTGAGTGGGGGATTTTGGAAGGGATATTGCTGATCTCCCCTTTCGAATTCAAATTGTTTGCAAAGGCTGTGACTTCGAATAGAAAATCATATTTCTAAGATGAAAGCCTCATCTTGAAATATCCCAGCAGTATGTAGGTGGGTGTAAGCATCTGATCTTAGTAAATTGAAGAATGATGGATCATGTTAGGCCCCACTCAAATCCCCCTGGCCCACTAAAGGCTTAGCGATAAAGCCCCTGAAAGTTTAGCGAGCACATCTCCTACTCCTACCCCTGTGCTAAAACTGACGGTCCCTCATTCATGCATACTAAAAACCGCAGGTGGATGATTTACCATCTTTTAATAGAAACGCTAAGCAGTCAAACTTATTATGGAAGTCTGGAATATATATGCGAATCGTGAGATTCGACCCTGGCTTTCCTTAGCCTTTATTGCTACGCCGTTAAGGATGGAACACAGCCCCACCACCATTTCAACCCAAACCCAACCTCACATCTAACTTTACTCCTAAAAAACATTACCCTTCCACAAAAACAAAAATGTCTCCGCCAACTGACATTTCAATAAAGGCACATATTATCATATGGACCTTGTCCATAACCACCGTCGGCACCGCCGTCCTGCTAATCATCCTATCCAACCCCAAAAATGGCACGTTACCCTACCTCACGCCCCTCGCCTTATCCCTCCAAAGTTATTACAGAGAAGCGACAATCCTCGGCCCTCTCCGCTACTTCGATTCCTTTTACCCAGTAATCAATCCGCATACAGCGCCGTTGTATTTGTTGCCCTTCTTTGCGGCCCGGAGGGTTGAAAAGGGTTGGCTCGGGTCATGGGTGGTTATGGGGTGGAATGTGGTATCTAGATTGCTGGACTGGGTAACGGATCTGATTTTGTTGTGTGGTTTGGATGAGCGGTGGAGGGCTGCTTGGTGGTTCGGGAGGCCTACCGGGAGGGGTGCTTGGGCGGTTGTTGGGGGGTGGGTGGTTGTGGTGGCCTTTTGTGGGGCCGAGTATATGGGGTGGAGGTGTCTGGAACCTGAATGGTGGGAGAAAGTGACGAAGAAGGATCAGGGTGATATTGAGGCGGCTGAGAGGGGTGAGAAAGAGAAAGAGAAAGGGGTCGAGGCTAGAAAAGGGGTGAGAAGAAGGTACATTTTCAGGAGCTATAAAATAACGATATATTATAAATGGTATTTCATCTCCTATTCACCTGCTATCACTTCATGATTGTTTCACACGCATTATAAAATCTATTCAAGGTAAAGACTGTGTAATTACTTATTCTCTAAACTCCAGACGCCAAATGCCGGACTGCAGAAGTGAGAAGTTACCCCTCACATCTCTCCCTCATACCCTCACCCGTCCGGCCAACCCCATCCGTACAAAGTCCCCCCTATACTGCTCCATCGACATGAGCACCAACTTGCACTCCGACGCCCGCTCAGGAAACTGTACCCACTTGGAATCAATATCCATGAAGGAAGCGAGATAACGAAGTGGGCGGATGACAATCGATTTGCCGGCATGGCGCTGGAGGTTATTCCATACCGCGTAATTCCTGTCATCGAGGACAAGGAGAATGCTGGGTGTGTTGGGGGCGAGAGATTCCGAGTAAAAGAAGCGGGCGATGTTGTTAGGGATCGATGCGATCAACGCACGGTTGTTGGTGGTGGATGACATAATTGTATACGTGTTTGAAGCTTGCGGAAACTGTTGTCTGGGTATATTTTTTTGGTGTTGTTATTGATGTTGTAGTTGGTTTTGGGATATATATCAGGGCATACTCCTTCGATCTCATTCAGCATATTATAGCTTGATTTCCGAAGTTGTTTTGAGCTGCTGGTTTATTTTCGTAAACCTGCTCAGGTAATTTGAAAGCTTTTTCATTTTTGTTTTCCACGCATCTTGCATTGTGTTACTATTCCAATTATCCTAAATTCTGTATTTCTGTAGCAGATCTCTTTCATTGATCTGGTCTGTTTTTGTTTCTCTTTTTATGTATAAAGGGCGTCCTTGTCCGATCTAATGAGACTCCCCTTGACACAAAGAGACTTATGCAACAATGCCATTGTCTAGGAGTTCGATATCTGGTCACCAATCCCTTTATAAAAAATAGAAGTATTCCCTCGAAAATCACATGCTTGCCATGAAGGAGCAGATTCTTATTTAAAGAGCACCAATACTACAGTAAGTACGACGTACCCTACTACATAGAGCTAAGCGTTGGTCCTTAACAGTCCTGGTCTAAAGTCTATAAATTCTCTCCCTCTATTTTTTTGATTTCCTAATACGCATCAAACAAATCATCCATAACCTCTTCATCATCCAATATCTCTTCATCCAACATGTCTTCTTCATCAAAGAAAACCGAATCAAACGCCAGGTCCAGCTACCTACGCGTACTAGATGAAGACCAGTGGAAGGACGTACCATCCTTGGAACTGACAGATCCTAGAGAAGAAGCTAGAAGAGAAGCTAGAGAGGAAGCTGTACTCCAATCGCGAATGTTTATCAAGCCTTGAATTAAGCCAAAACTGTATTCGAACTCATTGCGTTCAAAGCTTTATCTGAACCCACCCAACTGGAAAGTCTACATCAAGGCAATGAAGGTTTGCACTTATGAAGCACTTTACGTAAACCCATCAGGTTCTCAGATTTATCTGTGCCTAGAGGACCAGACCATCAGCTACAGAAGAGTGAAGAGCTACACGTATCCAGAAGTCCAGTACGCCAGCCCAGAGGAGCCACACTCCATAATTGAAGAGACTGTGACGGAGACTCCAGATCTTTCAGCCCTCAATCTGGGACATCAAAGCGCTGCCTCAAGCATCTACGAACTCGACGCTACACCTTGCCAATTCGAGAAGCAACAGGTTGGGAAGAGATCTCAAAAGCCCGAAGAGGGAGCTGTCCCTCAACAAGAGATTCTTCGCCTTCCCGAAGAGATACCCGAGTTTGTTAGACACCGCCTTGAGAATAATATTGAGGCACAGCTTGTGGATGGACTTGGAGAACAATGGCCTCGTCCCGAAGAAGTTTCCAGCTTGATCAGTTTTGTACTTGGAACAGGTGCTGAGACACATCGTAATCTTGGACAAGGAGCATCACAATGGCTCTATCCATACGAGCTGGCCGAACTAATCCAATATTTCCTTCATAAAGGTGCTGATAATAAGCTCAAACTTCTTCCCAGAACAATGCCCCTCTTTATCAAACTCGTCCTTGAGGAAGGTGCTAAGGGAAGGCTCACCTGTGAAGAATCACGACACCGGATTCGTTTCGGAGATATGCCCGACTTTATCAAAATTGTCCTTGGGGATATGCCACTGAATCATGACTCAATCATGGACAAGGAACTAAAGGAAGTCCTGATTCTGGTGCTTGATGGGCGTCAGGAAGGCAACAGTATCGGAACAGCGATCTGAAGCCTGGTTGGACTCTAACTTGCACAACTTCCAAGTTAATCAAAACTGATTAAAAATAACATCTGCAAGATAATAAGTGAAAGTTCTGTGACATAATAATGTCGTTGCCGTCTGTGAACGCTACATGTCTTCCCAATCCGTCTTCTATAACTAAAGTAACAGTATTTCGATAGTCATGTTTGCCGGTTGTAAAATGGGGCTTAAAGACGACTAATACATCAGACTTTGTATGGTCGGCTATTTCTCTAAACCTAAGCCTCAAATACAAGCCTCATACTCCTTCGTAGCAAAGTATTCTTACCGACCACGGCTAAGATTGTCGACATTCCCTCCATATCCAGCCAATAGTTGAACTACCTTCTTGTAACCAGTCTTTAGAGTGGTAGAAAAGATTTTTAGACCCTTTCGATTATCAAGGGCGTGGTTATAAGGAAATCCTACCCGACCAAGAGTAGGATTATCGATCCTCATTCCATATTCGGCCAAAATTTTCACTGCCTTCTTGTTTCCCGACCCGAACCCAACTGCGTCCCCAAACAATGGATTGGCACCATGTTCTAATAGTAGTCTCATGATATTATCATATTCCTTTGCTGCAGCAACCCCGAAAGGGTCCCAGGGTCGTCTTCTAGCGCTCCCCTCATTGGGTTTTGCGCCATTCTCGAGGGCGAGTTTAACAGTCGCTTCAGCTCCTTTTTTTACTGCATCCCAGAGGACATTGGTTTTTATCTGGTTCCAGTAGTTGCAGTGCCCAATAAGAATTCGAGCTACCTCTAAGTGACCCCAAGACGCTGCTATTTCAATCGCACTGCGATGGTTGCCCATATCAGTGTGGAAATTATACTTCGGTTCGAAAATCAAGTTGACGAAGTCTTCCCGGCCAAGGGTGGCTACTACACACAACACCGTTCCGCTCAATCCGTTCTTATCGGCTTGATTGACTTTCACTCCGTGGTCTAACATAAATTTCGTCAAATCGTAGTGGCCGTGAAGTATTGCGCATTTCAAAGGGTTTCCAAAGTAGATATTGTCCGAAGCGTCGATCTCCCCCTCTGTGATTAACCGTTCAAAGAAAGGCAAGTCTCCTAGGCATGCAGCTGAAGCGATAAGGTGGTTCGTAGTAGACTTGCGCCTCCTATCTGTTGCGCATGCAACTGCAGCAAAATCATCGGATGCAGGGTATACATGATCGAAAGTCTTTCGAACGCCCATGTTCGCAACAGCCACTTCAATCAGAAGGCGACAGTAAACGCTTTCGCTTCTCTTGAACATTTCAGAGCTCTCAGTTACGAGGAGACGCGCAGTTTGACGAATTACCCCAGGAAAAGTCTCGCCGCCACAATCGCTGACCTGCGCTTTCCTGTAAATGTGCTCGGCAAGAAGCCATGACTTGGTAGAGATGAACTGCCTGGATGGATCATATGATGCAAGGACCCTTGCGTTGCACATAGCAAGTGGGATCTCGATGTCGAATGCTTCTGTTCTAATTAGCACTGTTCGATACCAACTTTGCTGGCCGGGCTTTATACATACTACAGACCAGTCTCAATCTTATCATAGCCTTTAACAAGCCAACGGTGAGAACTGCTTGTTCTAGAATATTTTTCAGAAGCTCGACTGGTAGCTCTAGGAGAAGCATGTTGGATGTGATTTTAAAGAGTGGCCTCTATAGTTATTGGTCACAATGCGGAAATGTGTTGAAATGTGGTGAGGTGGAAAAGCGTTCTCGGTCATAATAATAGATCACACTTCGAGTAAGCGTCTGCCTAGATAAATATAGGAGCGCCTTGCCGTTCCGGGCACGTTATTGCAGGGTGTGAAGAAGCCTGAAATTAAATGCTCCATGCTGAACTCGCTAAATCCCGCCCCGCCCCCTTTTTGGCTGCCTGCGCTAAAGTTACAACCACCATTTTACCCCGCTCTTTATTGACAGCGGGGTTAATCTAGGTGTTCGCAACAACACCATCTAGGAATCTTCATGTACCGTACGCGCCTTTTGACATATGACCGCCAAGATGGCTCTGGCTCGAACTGGAGAGGCTGAGCAAGTTCAAGACAAGCAGCCGTTCGAATACAGCCCAGTTGGCATACATGATATACGCTTGCTTGAACTTCTTCCCTCCCTAGACTTCGATTCTAAGATCTATTGCAAAATTTCTCACTCATCGCTGGAAAATCACCCTCCATACGAAGCGTTATCATACGTCTGGGGCGATTCGAATTATACCACGAACGTCCAAGCAGGTGGAAGACCACATCAGGTGACGACAAATTTGGAGCTGGCTTTGAGGTACTTGCGACTTTACGAGAACTCAAGGCTCTTATGGGTAGATGCCATCTGTATTAATCAGCATGACATTCTTGAGAAAAACGATCAAGTGGCCCAGATGCGTCGGATTTATCTTAGTGCTGAGAAAGTGGTCGTTTGGTTAGGTGAAGAAAAGAATGCTGGCATGGCGCTGAAATTCTGCAGCCTGATCCAGAATGGGAGTTCTGTCATGAGGTTCCAAAAAGAGGTTGAAAGCAATGGACTGACTATCGAGGAGGTGTGGTCAAGTTGCACTTCGCTCTTTGGCCGTTCTTGGTGGACCAGAACTTGGGTCCTCCAGGAAGTGATCCATACTCGGCCAGCGACGGTCTACATTGGGAATATTCAACTCGACCTCGATGATCTGTGTGCAAAATACAGCGATTATCAAAATCACAAGCATATGCATAGCTCGACAGAAAGAGACAACAAAGTAAAGTTTGATATCTATTCGGGTATCCTTCGGATTGAAGCCATGATCGACACTGTTGGGATCATCGGATGGCGAAGAGAGCAGCTGATGACTTCCGAAGAACACAATGATCCCATCATCGGTATGATGTCTGCACTGCACATGTCCCGATTTCAGCAATGCCAGGATCCGAGAGACAAAATTTATGGTCTTTGCGGGCTCATTAGTGACGTGAATCTGACGATTGATTACAGTCTTTCAAAGTCTGAACTGTATAGTGCAACGATGAAGGAAATGCTCTTCAGATACCCAGAGTCCTTACTCTTAGTGGAATCTCCTGAACGTGAAATTGGCTCGGAAAAGCTTCCCTCGTGGGTTGCTGATTGGTCCACTTCACGAAGTTTGGTCCCAGCGATCATGTCCTTTTGGGCTAATGACGCATTTTGTTGCAGCGGTGGCTCTGAACGAGATATAAATAATTATTCTTTGAAGCCTAGGTTTCAGATTGCGAACAGCACTCTCGTCATGCGAGCGATTCAGGTTGGAACTATCACCAGGACAAGTTTTGTTAAAATCAATTTTGGTATTGGGGAAGAATACCAGGATACAATGAAAGTGTTTGCATATGATAAAAATCAAGGCGACACACAGAGTATATCTGATCAGAACCCATTGCATAAGCCCGTGTCATCAACTATGACAATGAGCAATTCAAGCTGGGGACCGCACTGGGCTGATAAGGGGGACATCATCGTCGTATCAAATTTATGCTGGGCGCCTCTTGTTTTAAGAAGAGGAAATGACTCTTATCTGTTCGTCGGCGGCTGTTGGCTTGTTGACTCAGAGCTTCAAGGAAGTCAGTCGCGTGAGATGAGCGACGTAGAAGCTCTAGGCAAAGATCCTGGATTCTCTCCCATCATGCATGGCAGTGCTTGGGACGAAGATAGATTGCAAGAGTTTCACATCAGATGACATCTTCAAAAATTCTCTAGGGAGCTCTTGAGGGTATAGACATTGGGGTTTCAAAAGCGATTCAGCTGTGTGTGGAATTTCTGAACTATCCCAGGCAGTATGAGCATGCACTTGCAGCTTCGAGCACTTTCAAGTATCTCAACGGCTTATAACAACGCGGTAAGAAGTAATTCAAAAGAAATTCAAAAGAACAGAATAAACAGTCACTGACATTTCATGACAGGAAAACCCCTTTCGCGGAACCAACATCACCTTGATTCTGATTTAACCAGGCTTTGGCCCAATACTCATAGACCCGCCCCTTATTATCCCACAAACAGGCAAGTAGGAAGGGCTACAATATCGAGTTAGTACTGGATCAAAAAAAAATCCTGTGAACCTCTCAAGTACGATATCGAGTGAATTTCGAAGCAAAAAAATGGTTATCGCCGCCGCCTTCACCTCGCTTAAGTGTATTATTTACTTCAACCGACATCTCGACATGCTCGGCTTCTTTATTTTCTCTCCACATTCAATGTTTACCACAATTCTATACTTGTACCAAGTCGATCTCCTCCCGTGCTGCAACGATGGCAAAGAATAGAAAGATACCAGGTAAACCTAAGAAGCCTGCCCCTCCACCAAAAATTCCGATTTGGACGTCCTTCAGCAAAAGGCAGATACTGAGGGTGAAGATATTGACTCGGACGCGGGAAGCTTCCTTGACGACGATACAGAAGATTTTCTCCTTGGGAACTGGACTGGAAATACCACCAAATCGAAAGCAAAATCCCCAAAGAAGAGACCCACGCCTTCATCGATCCGCTCGTTGGCACCTTTGCCCGTTGAAGCTGCGAAGACTGCCTCCAAAGATGTCGACTGCACCACTTCAACGATTAAGGCTGGCACAATCACCTTTAATCCACTACAACCTTGCTTTCAACCCGGTATGATTTACACAGTCGATAAGGGAACTGAGCTGGATTCTGATCACTATACTGGTGGAACAACCCGGGTGTCATCAGTCGAGGATCAGCTTGTGATCGAGACTTCACATTTGACTCTTGAGGCTGCTATTTACAGCGAGACATTCAATTCAATTGAAGTTCAGCTCTGTTCGAACACTTCGGAGTCGCCCCTCCAAAGTCTTAGTGGGAAGCAAATGCCTACTCTTGAAGAAACCGCGCCGGAGGATACACCTATCGAGACAAATACTAGTACTGTCACCATCTCCAGACTCCAGGTGCCATCATCTTTAACCCGATTATCAAAGCCTCGATCCGAAGTTGAAAAGTTACAGGATGAAAATGCTACACTTAGGCGGGATGTAGCTAAGAAGGAACTTGACTTAAATTCTTCAAAGGCACAAGTAACTCAAGCTACGTTGGCCGCCAAGAAGCAAGAGGAAGATGCGTTAAGCTCCGAAACGAACTCATCGAGCAATGCAACATCCGGGATGGAAAGCAGGAGAAAGAAATCAGAAGACTCCAATTGGCGCTCAAAGGAACCCAGAGTGAACGGCAGAAGGCGATGATGGATTTACGGCTAGAGAGGATCGTAATGGGTAGGCTGAGACAAGAAATGAAGGGCCTCGGCGAAACACTTCGTGTTGAGTGTGCCAAGTCTGGCATCCTGCAATTGCAGGTGGATCAGCTGAAGGAAAGTCATAAGTACAAAATAAACCGCGAGCTCTGGAATGGCCGTCTCAGCGCAGCTGAGCAAAGGTTTGGGATACTCGAAACAAAATTGGCTACTGAAGAGGCCGAGAGAAGAAGACTGCTCCATCAGTGCTCGGAGTCTGATTCTCAGCTCTCTGGGCTTGGGATTCAACTCAGTGCCTCCCGAGCTACCATAGCTACGAGGAGTGATGACGTCTACCGAGATTTGAAACGAAGATATGACACTTTGGTGAGCATTGCTAATACCATAAATCTTGAAATGAACTAACATATTCAGGTGCTTGAGTCTCAAGCAGCGGATCGACGACTTCTCACGGCCGCCAACGATCTGCGTATCTGTCGACAAGAGCGAGACTCAACCAAGGAACAGATACTAGCAGCGAGGAAAGCTTGGGCGGATGCCGTTATTAATGTATCCACTCGAGACCAAAGTATCGCCCATCTGCAGTCAAAGGTCTCACTACTGGAGAGTGACCGAAACCTGAAGGCACAATTCATCAAAAGAGCCGTTGATGTACGACTGAGGTTCCTTGAGCAAACTAGAGAGATGATCCACAAGCTTCCGCGGGGAGATGTTGATCTAGGAATCATAGAAAACGGAAATAATGTAGCCCATCGAGCATACGGAGCACTTGATGCTGCTATGTTCAATTCGAATCTCATTCCAGAGGAATACAAGGCTACCGGTGAGATAATATTTGAAAATCTCTACACGGTCAAGCCAAGTCAATACGGCCGTTGGTATCCAAAAGCCGAGAGACTGATGGACTGCAGAGCCTCTGTTATTGCGTTGAAGTCAGTCAGCAGAAGCAGCGTAACGGAGGATCTGAGGGAGGAACACTTACGAATTGACACCGAGATTTGTGGCCATCAAACCAAGCCAGAAAAAGATTTTGAATCAAGTCTAGAAGTCGAGGAGCTAATTGCTCAGTTGGAGAGCCTGACGGATGAGATTATCCAGCTGGACAGGTTTAGACACGGCGGTCGACGACGTAGGAGCCCTCGTGCAGTAAGTTTTAACTCCCTTTTCTAATAAACAGAGCTAATGCGTGCCACTAGGACGATGCTCCATTTGATATTAGTGATTGGGATTGGAATACTACGGTCCCGATGACATCAATCCTTGGGGTTACGAATGAGGAGGATTGGCCAGCTCTTTGAAAGTATGATAGCACGGTAGTACAATTGTGGTATAACTGAATCAGCTCCAGCCATGCCGATGGCTATGCTTCTGCAGAATGCTCCTGGCGCTTTGTTGGCATCAAAGAATTTGCTGTGGGCGGAACAGTCTTAATTTGTGCTACATTAATAGCTAGAAAGAAATCAGCTAGCAATGCTCTTGTAAGATAAAGAACTGAACACTTCAAAATTACTCCCGCTCCTCTTGGCCGCGATCCATAAATGCTTAAGAGAAATGTAGGGGCTTACAGCTGAACCAGTCAGTGTAGCTAAAAGTTCAGCCAGTGTAGAAAGTCTCCACTTTCGCTAAAGCTGCAGACATTTATTCGGATATCGATTTCTACACTGGCCAAACTTTTAGCTACACTGGTTCAGCTGGAACCCGGAAATGTAGAGAGATACTTGGAATGTGATTAGCTATGGTTGCAATATGGAGCGACTAGGCCAAGGATTTGCAGAAAGCAGGGCAACTATTCACCATTCAAGAAGCTGGCAACCTTGAAATTGAAGAAAGTTAAAGTATAAGAGCAGGCTAATAAGATTATTTCCATTTATTTTATGTTTATATTAACTTCCTGGACGTGAGTAAGGAGGCTATAAAGTTCTCACAAATAATGATATTCACCTTCGAAACGACTCCAAATCCTCCAGTTATAATATCCTCTACGAATCAAAAATGATATTTGACAGGACCGGGAAAGTGAAAGATATCAGAACAGGGTATACTTAAAGCGCCACCAACCTCGGCGTATCCCGTGAAACATTACTCTCCACTCTCTACTTTCCCATCATCCCAGCCTCAGCTCATCTCCCCATACCACAATCTCCCACTTCGGTGCCTGCCAACCGAATTCCCTCTCAACTTCCTCAACAGCTCCCCCAATCATCCAAGCAAGACCACTTTCCGCGCCCTCATTGCCACGCCCCTTAACTTGCACATTGGCATCAACATCAACATCCATCCCCTCATCCTCCTCTTCCTGCCTCTTCCCAACAACAATAAACACCTCCTCCACCCCCCCCAAACTTCTCCCTCACATACCCCCAAAACCGCCTCGCACACCCCTCGCTAACGCACAACTCCGCACAAACCCCCAACCTCCTCACCCGCCCCAACTCCGCCCTCTCAATCAACGTAACCGCCTCGACGAAATGCCGAAAACTGCCCATATACCCTTCCTTGAAACCGAAATACAAGACGTCGATACGGGAATTAAAGAAGATCTTCGGCTGCATGTGCATGAGCGCCAAGGAGAGCGGATAGTGCGTGAGGGAGAGAGCACGGGCTTCGGTGCTGGTGTGTAGGGCTGCCGGGATGGGTGCCGGGGATGTGCTGCCCTGGCGCGGACCGGGGACGGCGGGGTCCGCGGTGTAGTGGAGGGAGACTAGGCGTGGGTGCTCGAGATTTAGGGCCCAGATTCTGAGGCGGAGTTCGGTGGGCAGGGTGGGGAAGGATGGGAAAGATGAGGGAGCATGGGGTGGTGTAGAGGAAGAAGACATCCTTGTTTATTAGTTGCAGGAGATATATCTGATAGATTGAATGATGCAGGACTGGTGTGAGATGACGCTGGTTTAATGGTTGATGGGACCCGACAGTTTGGGTTCGGTAGATCATGCTTGTTCTTATAGAAGAAAAGATCTCACCTATTTACAACCTTTCCATGGCCTTGGGATGGAGATATTGGGACGTCTGTATTAGTCCAGCTTTATCAATCAATACCCCTGAAAAGACAAGACATAAAGCCTCGTGGAGAAGCCGCGAAGTCCATTCTTTCTTCTCCATGAGATCTTGACCAGTCTACTATGAGGAATGTGGTGATATCTTAAACGATGTCTCGACGATTTTCGCAAACAAGTATACTTTGGGCGAAGAAATTCCCCATTCATGTCCTGGCTTTCCTTTTTACCGTCCCAAGCTGTCGGGACGCGTCAGTGCTAGTGGAATGACGAAGATTCCCGACTATTACTTAGACATAGATCGAGAAAGTAAAACCCAGGCGCGTAATTGGAAGGCATACGAATAGAACCATTCGATAGAACATTCGATGAATCTTCTGGCTGCACTATTCATTCGAACAACAGAAGCAAACTGCGAAAGAGGCTTTTGAAGATCTAGTGAGATGGATCGCCAGAACATACCTATTTAGGTAAGTGTAGTGATTACGAGTACCCAACATCCGGTCAGCGACTTCGGCATTCTGCATTAAGAAGTCAGATCCGAACGGATTCCGAGATCTGGCTGAGCCGCAGATCGCGGGGGGGGGGGGATCTTCAGGGAAGAGCACTCATCCTGAGCTGGAGTGAGATATTGAAAATAAAAACTCGAGATAAATGTTTTTGCGACATGTCCTCTTCACACCAGCGATAACGTCAAAACGGTAGGTAGCGTGATCTTTCATCACACAATGGCAACGAAATCAATCAGTGTGCCATTGTACGTTTTCGCAACACGGGGTACTCCTCCAACATACCCCGTTGTGAGATTCAAGTACTAGTACCACATACCCCATCATTAGGATCGATCTTGTATTCCCAAGTGATATCACCCATGGCGATTAATTGCCTACTAAGCCTGGTTCGAACGACATATCGATTCGCGTATTTGTGGTGTTGCTAGCGAGGCAGGAATAGCATGTTTTATCAGGAGCGTAATTGCCCGTGGGTTTTGCGCAACCGTCCGCATCCAGTAATCTGGACTCAAGTGATCAGCGCCAAAATCTTTTAAAGCATCCTAAAGGTGATACGTCCCAAGCCGTAAGCGATTCAATAAACTCGAGGAGCGCAGCGAAAGCAATCAGTGCAAATGGAAGAACAAGAATAAAAACTATAAGATTTTCTTAAAATAGCCATAAAAAAGAGAATTATACGTATAAAATCGGAGGCTTAGTCGAAAACTGAAGGTGATCCAAGTGTGTTGTTTATTGCCACTGCTAGACTAATGATTTGGAGGGGGGAAATAGAAGTTTGGGCGTTTTGTACGACGCAAATAACATAAAGTTTTATTGGAAAACGCTTACTATCGTGCGTTGGCACACTCTCATACCCTTTGTAGCTCTTCCCACTTGCATGAAAAAACACTTAGATGTCTCCAGATTCTCTGGGGAATATCAATGGATTTCTACTATAGCGAAGAGGAAACTTGCGACCGGGAGTAAGGGGGTGGAACTCTACGTATAGATAATCGAGCCTCCACGAGTGCACAACCCGTTTCCGGCATCGCCATATTATATGATGTAGTCTACCAGACTACTCAAAGTCTAGAGGAGCGGCGTCGAGGACTTCTAGCTTCGCATTTGTATAGGATAGCGAAATTGAACTAAGAAAGAGAAAGTGGGGGGAAATCAAAAGGACAAATATCGCTCGAAAGAAACATATCGAAATAACTTTTGTTTTGAAACGCTTGTTTCAAAAGATTTAGAAAGCACTGACATCGAATTCAAAACTAAGGAAGAAGAGGAAAGGTAAGGTAAAGAATGGGAAAGGGATTCTTCTTTATCTGTGATATAAGGGGAGAGAAGAGGAGAGGCAGTTGATCGTAGCCCGTGTGGTCCGTTCCGCACTATAAATAGTGTTTCGTTTCAGACTTTTTAGACACCAGTGATTCAACAGCCGTGAATCATGAAACGCTCTGCCAAGCCGCTTATTTTGTCGTCGGAACGGCCAATACTAATAATGCCACTGCTATGATTCTGGCGTAAGGTCGGGGCGTCCGGAGTTTGGATCGTAAATCGATGTAGGTTACGTGATTGCGTAGGTTGTGGTGCTGTATTAGTCTCCTGAGGCCGAGAAAAGAATGGAACGTGGAGATTGTAGGACCGACTTTGCGAATAGGTTCAATTGAGGCAAGTCATGAGAAGCCTAATTGACCGTATTCATGACTTGTGTCTCGTGCTGGGTCAAAATCGATAAGCCATCTTCTGGAATTTTCTTGGAGTCTTGACTTCAGGGGATTTCTTGCGCGCTGGATACTTCGTATCTAAACTGGTTCTGCGCTTCTCTACAGCTTACACAGCATTATGAAGTATGCTTGGAGTATCATGATTGGAGAATTTTTCAGCATTACGAAGTATACATTATACGTAGTAAATGGCTGCAGTATAGAGCGGGCTGTACAAGATTTTTCCTTGTTGCAGAAGAGATGAGGCCGGAGTAGAGCTCCATTTGCCCCCCCGGTACTGGTAGCAATACTCCGTACGAAGTATAACCGGAGCAATAGGTCGGCATCTAAGTACATAACAGAACAGATGGTATAGACAGGCCACAGTATTTTCATGAACACAAGTGTTTTCGCGTTCCCGAGTTGCTGTGTGAAATGGAGAAGGACAATAATGGACACACGGTCTTTTCGTGGTTTTCATCTCATAATCCTCATGACCCTTTGTGTTTCCGGAACCTGAACCGGGAGGTTTGCAGGCCCGGCACTCGGAAATCTCGGTCTTCTTGTTACCACCAGAACAGGATAGCTCGCAACTCCCTGGCCGGTTTGCATTTTCGAGGCCGTTGTTCAGGGTTAAGCCATGGAGCTAAATATAACGGCCTTATATTGCGCAAGGATATCCACTGATCGCCAGAGGCTGGATCCCTTCAGCATACGGAGACCAGGCACATTAAAAAACAACGCGCTCGAGTGGATGATGCTGGGAGATGCTTTAGGAGTAATCTTTTGACCCAGGACAGGCTGGCCGGGGATGTCGGGGGAGGCTGCGAGCCCCCAAATAATCCCAGGAACGCCGTAGGGAATTGGAAGTCAGACACGGGGACAGCCTGGATGCACCATCATAACAAAACGTACACAGACCACAAATAATAGAAAATCCCACCATGACCCCAAGTACCTATACTTCTTCCATTCCACCTGCTTTTCTTTCTCTTGTTTTCTTGCCTGCTTTCTCTTTAAACATTCCGAAGTTCACGCCGTGGGAACGAACCTTAAAATATCGCGACCTGGCTGTCAGCATAGCCTTTCTTTATTTATCCCCGGCGAATTGAGGTTCTCGGCACCAATCAAATCATCCGCTGTACATCGGCACGGCTACATACCTCCTTGCGGATTTTTGGTACCAAAAGGAATACCTGACACCACCTTGACCCGTTGGTTAGAGTTTCTGAATTTGTGATTGGTCTTTGGTGGTTGCTTTTAATCTTGGAAACCAGGAAATATCACATTTTTCCAGGGAACTTCTCAGACCCCGCCTCGAACCGGAGAGTTTCGACTTTGGTGTAAACGCGACATTGACGCGTTTGGGTCGAGGCTCGACAGAGAAACTCGTATCGCATCCTCTCGCAATCCAAGATTTCCGTGTCTTGATCATTGTTCAATTCGTTATCACTCTTCGTCGATATCGTTATCACTTCTTGAGATTGCACCTTCCTAGAAGTTGATCCTGGTGTTATATGAAGCTTTGGCGGGGGTTTTATATAAACAATTTGCGGCAACCCACTTCGCGTTCCGCCAAAAGGAACCCCGCAGACCTGAATGTACATCATTTGGAGAACTGGAAAATTCTGCAAAAACCCACTATCATTCCGAAATCAGTTATATCTACTCGTGACGACTTTCTTCGCCACGCGATTTCTACCGTCTTACTGCACGTATCCGAGAGAATCCATGTCTACGGAATCAAGCGACCGCGTCTCATAAGATCAAGCTGCCACCAACCCGACCGTCAGTGGCCGTGAACCCTACCACCGTACAGGTGCACCAGGAGAAACTCTCCCGCACTTCTTGGAGAGAAGCTGTGTGAGTGACTGGAACCGTGAGACGAACTTCCACAAAACACGGCATCATAACGGCACAATTGCAGACCGTGGAATTTGAACTACCTACCAGAACTTCGTCGTGGGAGTCGACATTTATCTCCATCCCTCCTCTTGGGGTTCCGGTGCAATTCCCAAGACATTGTTTGTGTTCCGCTTTCGTTTGAAGCTACACCGACGCTCTTTCCGAGAAACCCCATAACTTCTTATAAACACAGCGTGTCTCGTTATTGAGCTACACAAAGTACTCCTACAACTGAAACATTCAAATCCCTCCATTTGTTGCAAAGCGATGGTAGTCCAGCGTGCGTTGTCCCTGGGGCTCGGCGCATGGGCAGTGTGGAGTGGAATCGCAATGTTGACTTTCGACATAATCTTCGCCGTCTGCCTGAACCGGAATAACTCGCCCGTCAGAGTCAATGTTGTGGCTATCGTTTCGTCTGGGTTGAGTGGAATCACTGTGGCTTTGCTATTGATGCTGTTGGGGAGGCAAATTCAGTATCGCAGTGGGTCTCATATCCAGGACTTTGGCCATGGACGACTGCATACGTACCTATTAGCCGGATTGGCTGGAGGTTTCGGCGTTTTGTCTGCTGTTGCATCGTCAGTGGTACTGGTGATAATGAGGAGCAGAGTTGGTGATAGACCGCAGAGAATTATCAACGGCCCTTCACACGACCTGGTGACTGGTGTGTTTATAGTGTGGGCAGTATCCTTACTGTCCGAGGGTCTATTTGTGATCTGCATGGTCATATTCCAGAGGAGAGACTTCCAACAGCAGATCCAGAGATATCGTGCATCTATGTCACATACGTTTCCTCAAATGCAGGCGACACCCAGACCACAAGCACCAAGTATGGAAGGAAGTATTGATCATCGAAGAGAATTTTCGATGGAGTCAAGGCGTCCACGATCCGGTTCAGACGAGATGTCCTCGATGCGGTCTTCGATATCGCAGGTGGTGCGACCGATCACTTCCAAGACCAAGCTCATCCAAAAAAACCACAAGCCCTCACATCGCACAACGTCAATTGAGTCGAGCCAGCGAGACGCTTCTATGGACGATAGTTTCGATTCGTGGGATACTTCGTCGGTCGATGCTTCGGCGCGGCAAGCTGTAGAATTGGCGTCTCCATCAGCCCCGAGATTTCTCGAGACCATCCCAGCAAGTCCAACCACCAGCAGAAGTGCAAGTCCTGGGTTTCCGCTTGACCTAGAGCCACCGAAAACCCGAAGGAGAAGTCGTAGCTACAGTCCTAGTTACACAGAACGGAGAACGTCGAGTCCGATTGAAAGCCGGAGTGAAGCTCATATCCATCCTTTGTTCCGGACAGATTCGCCAGACCCACCTCCGACTACGACTCCAGGGACAATAGTCATTGCTGCCCCTAATGCTGGACAATTACTTTCAGACCGGATCAGTATCCGCTCCGTTCATCGAATGCGCAGCGGAAGTCTTCCTTCGAGTCCTTTGGTGCATAGTGATAGCTTAGATAGCATCCGAAATGCAATGGAACGTCAGGAGCTAGAAGGATTAGAGGAGAACAAGAGAGAGAGGTCACTCACTCCTCCAATTCCGGATTTCGTCTTGAATGGAGGCTCGAGAAATAGTCTCAGTGGGTACCATTCCCGGAAAAAGGCCCAAACGGGGTTGGGGATGGTTGGGGAAGGCCTCGAAGCATAGATGACTTTCATAATGGGAAAGAGATGGCTCGACGCCAGAACGAATTTCTTTGAGTTACCAGGCTAGATACCACTTGATATTAGCGCGGCGTTTGATTTAGAAGATATACCTTAGTGCTTAAAGACATGAAAGATACTCAAGTTCCAGTTGACTCGACGTGATGCTTGCTTTGCGCTTTGTGAAAAGAGAATGAATGAATGTTGTCTCCACATCAGATGAGATGGGGAGAAGCAGAAGATAAAAGGGGGTGGCTGCGTGATAGCAAACGGCATGCGAGAGGCACAAACCATTGATTGAAGTTCCTTGCTCTTCCAATCTACTGTTTGTTTGCATATAGGTTGTTGATACTGTAGTGACATGTACTGTAGTAGGACGGAAAAGGCGAGGCTGAGCCGGCTGAGCACCCCGCACTTTGGAGCGAAGGTGGCGCTCAGAATGTTTCCACTAAGCACCGAATCATCATCGGGTTGCATGGCGCTGTCGTGCTGACTTCACTGCGACCAAGATCGCCAGCACACCGCTGTCTTTATGGAAGATGAACGGCCCGCGAGACAAGGCGACGGTGAATAATACGGTGGTAGGAACTGAGGCTGACCATCTGTTGTTGACGCAGCTCTGGAAGCCTACCTTCCTTGTGGTAGTGTACGGTCTAGCGTGATGTCCGTGCACGAACGTAGGTAAGGTAATTCATTCCAGGTATTCAACCATGAACTCTTCCACCTTGCACCCTCCTCCTCTGCTACACAGATTCTCCACGCCGTCGACTTCGTCTTTCGATACTTCTTGCACCTCCAAACCGACTCGACGTCACAGTCTTTCCGCAGTTGAGCTGTCCAAACCGTCACCATGAAGTTGACCTTCAAGGTTAGTTGCCCCATTTTGCCTTCCCCCCCCCCCCCCCACCTGGAAGAATACTTTGCTAACGGTGCTTTGCGCATGTAGGATCTCAAGCAACAGAAGTTCATTATTGAAGCTGAGCCATCGGAGCTGGTATGTCGCTTCATGCGCGCAGATTTCATTCTATTTCCCTCGATTTTAGCCACCTCGTACAGCCTTTGCCCAACGGACCCCACTAATACGCTACATAATAGATCTCCAGCGTCAAGGAAAAGATCTCCCAGGAAAAGGGATGGGATGCTCCTCAGCAGAAACTGATTTACTCTGGTGAGTTTTGTTGCGCTTGAGCGGACCCCGAGGGGCAACCAAATGCTGACAGCCATTTAGGCAAGATCCTACAAGATGACAAGACTGTGGAGGACTACAAGATCGAAGAGAAAGGGTTCATCGTCTGTATGATCTCTAAGGTATGTTTGATAAAGTGCTGTTCTTAGACGACACTAATAAATTGTAATAGCCTAAGGCTGCTCCATCTGCGTCAACCCCCTCCAAGGCACCCTCCACCCCAGCACCCCCGATTGCATCAACACCTGCACCCCCAGCTGCTCCAGCTCCCGCCGCAAGTTTATCTACGAATGCTGTGCCCGCTACTCCTTCTCCCGCTGGCCCTACCCCGCCTGCTGATGCTATTGCGACTCCAGCCACTGGAGGTGGTCTAGCCATGGGTGCTGAACGAGCTGCACAAATTGCTGAGATGGAGAGTATGGGCTTCGAGAGATCGCAAATCGATTTGGCTATGCGAGCTGCCTTCTACAACTCCGAGCGTGCTATTGAATATCTCTTGACTGTAGGCAATAAGTGCCCCTCTTCAGAGTTCCAAAGTACTGACTTCAACCTCAGGGTATCCCCGAGAACCTCCAACAAGAACAACGAGCTGCTGCCCCGGCTGAAACAGCCTCTTCTCCTATCCCAGCTGCTGCGAATCCTGGAGCTGAAGGTGGCGATGAGCCAATAAACTTGTTCGAGGCCGCTGCTCAGGCGGGTGCGGGAGGACGTGGTGGTGCTGGTGCGGCTCGTGGTGGAGCGTCAGCAGCAGGAGCCGCTAGTCTTCTTGCCGGTGCTGGAGCTGGCGCTGGAGCAGCTGGAGGATTAGGGAATCTCGACTTCCTCCGAAACAACCCACAATTTCAGCAACTCAGACAAGTTGTCCAGCAACAGCCACAAATGCTCGAGCCCATCTTACAACAAGTCGGTGCTGGTAACCCGCAACTCGCCGCATTAATCGGTCAACATCCCGAACAATTCTTGCAACTCTTGAGCGAAGATGGCGAGAATGATGCTCCACTTCCACCAGGAGCCCAAGCCGTCCAGGTGACTGAGGAGGAGCGTGAGGCTATTGAGCGCGTAAGTTTATGATACCCAAGCTACAGTTTGAAGTCTAACACATAAGTCAGTTATGTCGTCTGGGTTTTCCTCGCGACTTAGCCATTCAAGCATACTTTGCCTGCGATAAGAACGAAGAGCTTGCTGCCAACTTCCTCTTCGACCAACCAGAAGATGACGAATGATTGTCATTCTGGGCGCTTTTCTTTCGTCTCATAATCATTTTCAGCGCAGAATACCTACCAATTTAAAACGAGAGGAGAGGCATTGTAGGAGCGCAAGAGAGCCATGAATTAACCATATCCCAAACAGCTCAAATCTTTGGATTTGCGAAGGCAATTCTCTAGATATTGCTAAAGTTGTGAACAGGTTGCTTCTCCTTGGGTGGATCATTCTTGTGCATTATTCCCATATCATGGAAAGGAAGGCGTGTTTTGTGGGTAACTTCTCACTCCATCTTAGGTATTGCATGGATGAGTATCATCCACTGCTGGATATATGGCATGCATATTCCCCTAAGTAACGAGAATACGATGATACAACAATGCAATGCTCTGCTTCCCCGTGATCTACTCGTGATGGATGATTCCGCATAACATTTGCCTTTCTCAAGCCTTGTCTGTATAATATGTACCGCATTAAATACCGCAACTTCAAAACGTGAATATGGCAGAGGAAATCTTTTGTTTCTGGATGAGAGACCAGAGTGGATTGGATCCGTGAGAAAGCTCACTTGAATTGCAGCAATCGACCGATCACTTAAGGGGTACTGCAACTTGATTTAAGACCCAGGATCTTTTGCAAACATCGAGACTTTGGGGTAGGAGGAAGGAAGTATAATATACCCTCGACCGCGTGGTTATATGGCTTCTGCAGTCTTGCGAACCTGTGAATCAGAAACTAATCTAGATTGTAGGTTATCTGCTGCACATGCATTGTCATAATGTGAGATACAGCATATTCAGCCATCTTGCTGGGTTTTAGAGCAGGTTTGTAGAGGGGTATGCCGCTTTGTGTATGTGTTGAAGGACCATTTGGGTGGTAGATTTTAACGGGGGAGACTCGCATGAGATGCGAATAAATAAGTCTCCCTCTTGCGCGTTAAACACAACCACTATAATACAATTACAGTATCACTTAAATTGATCAAATCGATGCATAAGAAGCTACTAAACAGTTTGCGATCTTTAAATATTGATTTAAGTCGGTGGTGCATAGATTATCAAAATCTCACGGCGAGCTTGGATAATATTTTGCCATTAAAGTTTCAAGAAATGAAGATAGCACAACAACACCATTTTAATATAATTTGGAAGAAGCCACATTGTTTTTAATCAACTATTCAGTCTATTCTATCAGAGAAACTAATCTTTATATTGATTGTGGTGGAAGTTGAAACAAGTTTGCGAGCCTTAAATTTCACGAACTGTACGAAAGTAGATGTCATGGTCTCATTAGAGCTTCGTCACTATACGGAACAACTGCTACCTTCCGTTTGCTGTGATATGTTCTCACGAAGAAAACTAAACAGCACTTGTAACTCCACCGATTCACTAAAATCTTGTATAACAAGTCTGCGTAGCAATGAAAACATCCATGTTCTACGGCCGATCATTGCATTCGTAGTCATTCCACCTGACTCCCAACCATCAATAAACTCCTTTGACGGTCAAGCTCGTATACTCTCATTTCACCCAAGAATTCCAGTATTTCCGAAGTCTGTGAGAGCTTTAGGTGTTTTGTGAATCCTAAAGGTATTATTCTAGAGTTTTCGATTTCATGCCACCATTCAAAAACAAACCCGCCCAGCCCCCTCGTCGAGCTAGCAACAAATTCAACTCAAACCCATTCACCATCAACTTGCTATACATACAGAAGGAATATTTCATAGAACTTCGGATCCTTGTCAACATCTGAATATATCAACCTCCCAAGTCCTGAATCTGCGTTCTAGATCCTATTTAAATAGATTTGGTCCCACTCGGCCACTTCCTCTTTTCCGGGCTTTCCTTCGACCGAGATAGACGTCTCGACGACTTTACAACCAGAGCACTCCATTCCAAGATTCAAAGTCATCATCCGAGATAAGATTATCACAGATATACATCTCCAAGGTAAGCAGATACTCTTCCTGAGCCCGTTTCCACCTAGGATTAGTTTTGGCTGAGCTGTTACAGTAGTATACACGTAAATCACAACACAACCCGAAACACTGAGAGAATCACACCTGTAAGTACAGCTTTTCAAATTCACACAGATCAGGCATGCATCCCTTCTCGACGGCCGTTTGGCCTTTTGCACCCGATTCCTAAAGATCCATCACCTCATTAGAGATGCTAAATAAAATGGACTTGTTGGTCTAGTCACGTGCCTTTGATTTAATCTAAAATTCGGGGAGACTTCAGCAGGATCGAGTATCCACCAACAGCAGCAACTTCACAAAGTCCTGGGATTCGAATCAGTTCCATCCATTGACCGCCTCTCAACTCCCTTTGCCCTCTTCCTCTCTCTCCCCCTTGCGCACCCCGAATATACGGAGGTCTTCGACTGCAAGGATTGGAATCCGGACTGTCGGTGATTTCAGCCAATCACAACGACGCATACTTGGCCTTGTAAGCGAGTAGTAGTCGGGTTCTCTCAATCAATGCGTTTTCTTACTATCATCGACATTTCCTACTACCACCATTGAGATCAATTCGCCCAGCCTCGGTCAGTCGAGACAAAGATCTTTCCGAAAAGGTGCGGATTATTTGATGGTCAAAATATCACCCAGACCTCGCGTTTTCCATCGATACTGGACTTAGGTCGTCCGTCTTACACCTTTTCCAACCACCTAAGCAGACTTCATCAAACCACCACCACCCCAACAACTGCTTGTCAACACTCATCCGTCTCATCTGTGTAGCTTTCCACTTGTATCATAGACTTCTTTAATATTTTACAGCTCCTCGCAAGCATCCTGCGCTGTTGTCGCGATGGCTCCAGAACTGCGTCGGACTCGTCACGAGACTTTTGGTACTGGGCACCAGGAGAGCCGCGAAACCAGAACACCAACCTACGGAACCAGATCCTCAAAGCGCAAAGTATCAGAAATAAATAATCCTGATTCGTCGCCATCTGGGTCCAAAACTTCAACTCAGTCATCTCAAAGTTCTTTGGATGAGGTGGAACCAATGCCGCCTCCCGCCAAGAGAAACCGGAAGTCCTCACTTGTGGCCCCCAAAACCCCAGAAGAAGAAGAGATTAATCCAGATACTTTGGAAGTCCCATCTGTCATTGTTGACGCACCTAGTACTACTGGCACTGATGAAGATGAACCCATCCAAGAAACACCAGCCACCCCAAAATCCACTAGAGGTGGGTTTCGGGGCCGGCGAGGTGGGCGTGGAAGATGGGGATGGGGATACCGTGGCGCCAGAGGGGGGCGTGGTGGATCCGGTGCTGGTCCAAGAAGTACGCCGGCTACTGAATCTTCACCATCTGCACCCAAAGCTCTTCGAGGCAGAGGTGGTCATCGGGTCAAGAAGTCAGACAATGCTCGAATCCAGGCGCTTTACCATCGCCGAGCCGCACTCAAACACCAGTTCAAACAAGTCGCCTTCTATCAAAAGGCTGCCTTGATATCAATAGCAGAAAAGGCATTGGAAGCTGCTAAATTCGACCCTAATTATCACAAGAATTTCGAGGAATTCAATACGACTACTGAAGCGTTGAATGATGTATACAAAAACAGACGCAAGCAGCTAATGGAAGAATATGAATTGAAGGAAGCCTATCTCATTGGTTTGAGAGACAAGAACAAAGAGTATGCGGGGAGCCAATATGAAGTAAGTTGCCAAACCTTGCCTGAGTTTATCAGATCTAACTAGTACGTCAGGCTGCCATAGAGGAAGTAGAAGAGCGGATCGAGGCGAAGATCATGGAGAAGGTTGACCACATTTATAGACAGTGGGCGAACTCAAGTACCGTAGATGAGACTCCATTGTACCGTGGTGTAAGTGACTTCGCTTTTGACAGTGGACTGAGCTAACATTATATAGGAGGTGGGAAAGGTTGTGAAAAGAATTCCACGGCCGACTCCAATGGTACATTCGATTGCTACTCCATACAATTATGTAAATATTGCCCGCCCACCATGTTCTGAATCTCGCTAATATGCTTAGACTTTTGTGGATATCAAAGATCCTGACCAGTTTGAGGACCTTCAACACCATGAGATTAAAAACTTACTGGAGCAACATCCAGCGGATCATTGGCTGTCTATGACTAAGCAGCAGCAAGAAGGCTTCATCTCAAAGATGAAGAAGGCTGCCATTGGTGACAAGGGGAGGAAGATTAGAAATACTAAGGGTAGCGCACTCTACCAACCCCAAGCAGAAGTATTGGAAGTGCCAAACGCGCTTCCTGACTTGATATCTGCCGCACCAACGCCTGCGGAGGTCTCTGGAGATGACACCGAAACTGATGAGACGGAGTCCAACGGAGAAGAGCAACCGACTGATCAATATGGGGTCAAGGTCCCTAAGAAACCTATTCCTCGCAATGGTGAAATACCACAGAACAGGATCGTTTCAGACATGCCCGTGGTCTTTGAAGAATATGAGATTGGTATCCGCAAGCATGTATACCGAAAAACCAATAAGAATGACCAGACTTACCTGGGCATGGATGTTGATCCTAACCCGAAGAAGGCTCACTGGGATCAAAATGCTAGCGGGTACAATTCGGCAAAGAACAAGAAGGAGGATCTCGATCAGGAGATGGTTCGAGCTTTCAAACTTCATCCAATGTATGGCATGCCGCTACCACAATCAGTCAATCCAGACTACGACGAGTGCGAGAACGCGCCCTTCAACGCACCCACAAATTGGGCGGAAGACCTTTCACATACGGAGCCAACCGTCTTGATCGAAGAGACTGCAAGGACTGCCGATGACCTGGATGAAGACAAACAAGTTTTCCTCACTTCCCGATCCTCATGGATCCTGAGGAGCAAGGAGGAGTGGGAAGAAATCATGCCCAGATTCAAGATGTCGTCTGTACTGGCTGGTATAGGTGCACTGGACCGTCCAGAACCAAGACCGGTTGTTGTGAAGAAGGAGGAGTCTGTCCAGCCTGAGCCAGTCCCTCAAGTCATTAATTCCGATCTTATCGCGGCGGTCAACGAGGCAGCAGAACTTAAGAGGCTGGAGGCTATCAAAGCGGCTACCATCGCACCACCCGCACCACCTCCACCGTCTACTCGGTCCCACGGATATGATCCGGTTCGCGATACCACATACCGAACCCCATACTCTCCCCGTCAACCGGTCCCAGCTCCTCTTCCTCCTCCGCCTCCGCCTCCGCCTCCACCCCGTACAGAAAAGCTCACGGCACTCGCCGACCTTGCCGAAAGCCGTGGGCCCATTGCACCCGCACCTCCGCAGGCATATCACGCCCATCGCAACAGTTGGGGGCCACCTGCTCCTCGCTATCCACCAATGCCACAAGCGCCGCCAGCTACCTACTTTTCCTCGTTCACGCCTGTAAACGCACCGTACGGCTCCCCACGTGCTGTTGTGCCTCCTGGTCCACCGCAAGGTCAGTTTAGGGAACTTAGGCCTGCACCTCCACAGCAGCCGGTGCCTCAGCCGGGGAGGCAGTGGTACCCTAGACCTCCTCCCTACTCACAAGAGCGTTAGGGGGCTGGTGAGATTAAGGCGTGGGGTGGGAGGAATGATGGATGTATAAAAGTTTTCTCTTTTCATTTGTTTCTATATTTTGATGGTGTTACACATCGCATGCACGGGACACGGGAGCATTTTTGGGGGAGGGTTATTTCAGGCATTCGTTAAATGCATCGACCTGTATTGTATATTGTTTCTTTTGTTCCTGCGTGTAGCGGCATTCATGTCCTTCATGGAGTAGAGGCGGCGTTACGCATTATTGGAGATAGGTTTTGTCAATGCAAGCAAGGATTAGGCTGAATTGCATTTTCTACTAATATTGGAGTGAGATGGAGTGAATTGATTTCAGTTCAGTTCATTTTGGTACGATCAAGGTATTACGGGGATTTTGGCTTCCAGGCGATTTGTAGAAGCAGAAGTATTGTAATGTAATTTACTTACAATGCCAAAAAGGCTAGAACTCAATCAAGAACCCATCTAGATATTCCTAAGGTATATAGATAATTCGTATTTCCCCTCTCCTGTGCTATAAATTCGGATTCGCCTCTTGAAAACCCCTCCATGCAGACGCAGGTACGAAAAGCAGCCCATCCCATCCATTCCTTTCCACACAATGGCCTTCCCATTACGATCATCGACTCACTCTCCCTCATATTCTAATCTTCACCTTAGAACCAGTCACATTTCGACTCACTCACTCCGATACAGCCTCTTCTCTGCGCCACCTCTCTCTCACACTAGGTAGGCCTGAGTCACTCTCTGGATCGGACCCCTGCTAGCGCCCCCGCGATATTCGCTTCTCTGAAGGTTAAGAAGAAGAAGCTTGCGCGAAAAAGCTGTCGACACATTTCAAAGCAAACGCACAGCAAACCAACACGTCGCTCCTTCCTTTCACTCTGATTTTTATTTACATCCAATAAGGGGCATTATATTCGAAGTCAAGAAGAAAGAGAGATTCAGCAGAGATGGCGGTCCGAGCACAGTTTGAGAATAGCAATGAGTTTGTTACCCCACCCCACCTCCCCTCCCCTCCTTCACTTCCGAAGCAATGCGGATAGAGGAGTACGTGTGCATGTATGTATATACATACATATGTGTATATATGTGTGCGCGCGCGTGTGTGTGTGCATGTGCATGTATAGATGACAGCCTGGCTAACAAATCGTGTCCGGAATAGAGTCGGAGTTTTTTCAACCCTCACGAATTCATATGCGCTGGTGGCTGTTGGCGCGAGCGAGAACTTCTACAGTGTGTTTGAGGCTGAGCTGGCAGATGTGATTCCGATTACGCATTGCACGATTGCGGGGACGAGGATTATTGGACGGTTGACTGCTGGGTATGTTCTTGTCCTAGTTTTCCTTCTTTCTATATTCCATGCGAGGAAAAGGTTTGGCTTGGGAGGAGAAGAGAGAGGGATAGGATGATGTTTGGGGGTAAAGAAAAGGATAAATACTGATTCGAATACTTGGGGTAGGAACAAGAAAGGTCTATTAGTACCAACCAGCACAACGGACCAAGAACTACAGCATCTGAGGAATAGTTTACCGGACGGTGTCAAGATACAGGTATGCACATGCTCTCCCTTGCCCCAGATGTTCAAGTCCTTGCAAAAGAAGATCAACTGACAAACGATGGGAAAACAGAGAATAGAAGAACGCCTCTCAGCACTCGGCAACGTAATCGTATCCAACGACCACGTCGCGCTCGTGCACCCCGACCTGGAGCGCGAAACCGAAGAGATCATCGCCGACGTGCTAGGCGTCGAAGTCTTCCGCCAGACCATCGCGGATAACGTGCTCGTAGGCTCATACATGGCACTCTCGAACCAAGGCGGCATCGTGCATCCCAAGACCAGCATCCAGGACCAGGACGAGCTGAGTAGTCTGCTGCAGGTGCCCTTGGTAGCCGGTAGTGTGAATCGCGGCAGTAGTGTGGTGGGCGCGGGCATGGTGGTCAATGATTGGCTGGCGGTGACGGGGCTGGATACGACGGCGACGGAGTTGAGTGTTGTGGAGAGCGTGTTTAGGCTTGGGGAGGGGCAAGGCGCGGGGGCAATTAATACGACGCATAAGGATACTATGGTTGAGTCGTTTTATTGAGGGGTTGCGTGAGGGAAAAAAGAGGACTTGTATGATGCTTGGACATGGCATGGTATGGTATGGTATGATACCTTGAGCGCTACGCTCGCTCGTATGCTTGGCGTGGGCGGAACTTTACTTTACTTTACTTTACGGACTGCTTCTTTGCGAGGCGTTTATGGCCGTAAAAGACGAATAAGAAATCCTTTGACCCGCAGCCCCCTTTCTTTGCGTGTGCGTGCTTGCTTTCTTTCTATTTATATTGACCCCTGATATGTTGGTTTGGTCCAGTAGTATGCTGGGAGCCATATGTATGTGACTTGTGAAATTATTAATCATGAACGCCGTATAAACAAGCTTTGTATAATGTATTTGAAACAAATAATGCTACAGTCGAGCGACTGGACGAGATGACCGTTTTTACATCTCTTTTCTTCGCCTTTTGCTTTGCTTTGCCGTTTAGATGTGAATGGAGATGTATACGTGTTAAAAGGTGTATCTTGCCGACAGTCTGTGATTTATCCCATCTGTGAATCTTTTAAGCGTGAAGATCTTAATTGTGATTCTCTTATGGCTGTGAGTGGGCTCGTTCGTCGTGGGGATGTGATCTATAAAGAATGTCATGCAATGCAATGATTAGTGATAATGACTTGAGTAGGAATCTAGTAATCGCTTTGTAGAGCTGATGATGATGTCCTGCAAGCCGTGGGCATTTTATTTTAATGCTGGTGAATTGATGTATGTGTGTGTGAAAATTCTGCGTGTCGCGTGGTGCGTTTTCATCTGATGGGTGTTTAGGGTTGGGTTTTTAGTTTGTGTGATTTACTGATTGACCGACTGTAAGTACAGATGGGCATAGTAAGGGTTGTGGTTGTATTTTTGAGAAGTGTGATGTTACATGTAAGGGCTTCGAGATATTTTGCCTTGCTTGTGATATGTGCGTTATATTAAGTGATGAGTACCGTAGGAGACCTTGTTTATGCTGTCTGTCAATGCAGATCAAGGGGTCTGTTGTGGCGAGTTCAAGTGCCTCCTAAGCAAGAGCCCCTCGCGTTTTGTATGTCGATGTAGGCTTGTGATGAAATTTGCACCGCTGAGTATGTGTTCTGCTTCAAATAGGGGGCTGATGATTCGATTCGATGACGTGATTGTTCGTGTGTTGTAGAGAGTGCTGTTGTTGAAAAGGGGGGGGCATGTTTCAGTGATAGAGACAAGTTCTCATCTTGATTTGACACTTGTCTGTTGTCTTGTAGAAAACGCTGCTTCGCTGGTACTGTGGAGAATTGGATGAAGGAGGAGGTGGAGGTATTAGTAGGTGCTCAAGTCGCCCAACCACGAAGTTTGAACATTTCCTACATAGCAGTACCTATATGTGTATGTGGATGCCGGCCTATGTTCCTGTTCGTAAAGCTGGGGGCTACGGTCATGATCGCCTTGGTTTTGACGAATGCGTGTCTATCCTCATTGCTCAATCACCGCCGGTATCTCGGAGGGCTACTAGCACTCGCCCAAGTACAATATCTCCTCTCATCGCTATGATACCTAGCGCTACCTACAATATGTGCTTCGTTGGAGAAGGTTTGAGATGGGGGTGCCGTGTTGAGAGTGCTGTGCTGGTGGTGCTGTGGTGTGCTGGGAGTGTTGTGTTAGAAAATAGTCTCCTGGGAGTGTATTGCCAGGAGATGCTCGCTGTGAGGCGCTCTGCTGTGAGGTGCTGCTTGATAGATGCTCCGTGTGCTAGGAGGCCGCTCCATAGGTAAGCAACTGTATGGTTTGAGAATATGAGGGCGACCACCCTGGGGCAGACTCGTGGTACCTCTTGCGAATGATGGTAAGTCGTGGTTAGGTAGATGAGACTGAAGAGGTTCCCAGGCTGCTCTTGAACTTGCTTGATACTCCGCCATTTCTGCGAATGGCCTTGAAATGCGAGCTGTGTTTTGCATGGTTTGTATCATCTTGCGCCGTAAATAGGTAGTAATGGGAGGACAGGGCGAAAAGTCGTAAATAATGTGCGTCTGCTGTCTTGCTCTTAGCCTCAAGGTTCGTCCTCTCCGATTCCAATAGCAATTCGATATCGAATACTAACCTATGTATCATGAACATGCATTATTAACAGCTGCGCACCATTTTGGACGGTGTTGAGAGGTTTCCCTACCTAAAAGTAAATATAAAGGAGGTCACCTGATGCGCCTGGGTGAAGCCTTCCTTGAGCATCGACAGGTATGGGAAGGAATAACATATGAACAGACATAGGAACCTTCTTCGACTCTTCGAGTAACAGCAACCACTATTTTCTTCAAGGTCACAAAGTTGATGGAACTGCTAGAATTCAGTCTATTATCTATCTGGAGTGGACATACCAAGCCGACGGACGACCCCCAACATTCCGATGAGCATTCCCATCAAATCCAATACTTCGATCAAACCTTCCGAAACATTGCATTGCTGCCGCGCCGTCGAGGCCAATCTGCCCCCACGCATCAATGATACCGGAACATCTATAACACGAATACTCGCTGCAGAGGACAGCCCAGCAACACTTCCCGACGAGCATCAATAATATATCTAGCTTGCCTCCTCTGCGCGCGCTGGACTTTAATAGATATCCTCTCAGCATCGCTCAGTAACCCCCTTCGGCATCTGATCTCCTGCATTGACAACCTGTTCAAGATCAGCATCGTTCGAACTCTTCGACATCAGGTTCTCCTACCTCAAGAACCCTACCAGAATCAACATTGCTCAAACCTCCCCGTGCATCAGCACCTATCCAGAAGCAACACCGCTGAGATACCCTACCTCGAAGCTTCCTCTGGAAACAACACCATCAAATCCCCCGACGGTGATCTCAGCTCCAGTCACATCGACAGCATCAACTGCCCCTTTGATGTCGAGCTTATTCTCGCCCACATCCCCAGTATTATTTACAACACCATCCACCTGAAGTCGTTGTCCGCCAGCGCTTCCAATCGGGAGTCACAACTGCGCCGGCATCATATTCACGCTCATCCCCTCTTTGGCCCTCAACTGGAGCGTTGGAGCATCCATCGTCAGACGAAGGATACACTTCGTATTCCAGAATACCAGGTCACTCAATGGCCCTCATACCTGCCTCCACGTCTTTAATACAATGGCTCAAGACGAGGTCAATAACATTTAAGACCGTTGCCGAAGCCATCCACTTCGACTTGGTACCACTATTGACCTTTGCTTGTCATACAACCAGGCGCTCTCCGCCCGACTTCCCATCTACAGCGCCAGCAGAGGCATCCGACTTTTCGACCGTATTTATATCTTAAACGCCGAGATACAGAGCCTCGACTGCATCTTTAGACGCTTGATCACCAACTTTCTTTGGACTTCGTCTTCAATAATGCATCGAGTAATCGAGAGCTACACTCAATGCCTCCTTTCACGAAGCATCATCTACGATAGAAGATGGTTCACCATCAAGAACAGAAACCATAGACACAGACGTCGGGTATATTGACCTGTCGCCTACGGCTGTCCCCAAGGGTACGACATACTTGCAGGATTGCAAGGAAAGCGCAACATGCTTCTGATAATGATGCCCAGTACCATGCCTGTTCACAGCGTGCTGGATGACCCTCGGCGTGATATCATTCATACTATCCTTGTGGCTACTTATAGCGATGAGAAGACGACTTTCTTGTCGCTCCTGCGCCGCCGCTGGATTCCCATGATCAAGCACTGGGTTCCTGAACGGCGTTGTGCTATGAATAGTTCCTGAACCTGTCCTTGAATCACGCTTGCGTACTCACAGCATGGTATCGGCAGCGGGAGACTAGACCAGACTTCTCGCTCACGGACGAGTGGGTTGTGAAAGCCTGTCAAGGTGGCAGTGGCAGTATCGCTGAAGTTCCGAATTGATGTAGCACGATGTATATTCGGTATGCCCGTGGAGCCCTCGAGGGGCACTTGGCATGTCAAGGCATAATGACTAGTCGTTCCCGGTGGTCTCAAAAGTATATGTCTCCGAAAATACCATGCTTTGTGCCGGAATCGCTATTACATAAACGTCCACTAAAGGCACGGCTTCTTGCGACTGTAGAGCATGGTGCTTGCAAGACGCGCAAGAATACACTCTAGCATATGATACTTACATTGCTAAGCTTCAAGACCCCGGGGATGTTGATCATCGAGGCAGAGGTAGAGAGTGAAAGGTCCTACGGGCCAAGACCAACCGTCATTGTCAGATCGCCAGAGAGAGGGAGAGAAGGAAGACTACTTTTCAAGCTCGTGGCGACCTCCCTAGACCCAGGATAGGTTTGACTGAGCCAGCGAAGCATGGCGTAAAGGTCGTACGAAGAGCGACTTATATGCTGCCCCAGATAAATACCTCACCAAGGTGGAGGGTAACCTTTCCCCTGATCCGAAGAAGCATCCTTTTTGGTACTTGGAGGAACATCCAAATCTCACGCCCTCCTTAGTCTCAATATATGAATGTCTATCAGCGACAATGCTATTTGTTGTCAATGATGCGGGAAGTCCTTTGGGTGTCATCAGCGCCTGTTTCTAGACCAACTTAGCTGTCGAAGTCGAGTATGAGATAATCGAAAGGATCCGCTGATATCCCAATTTGATCCACATATGTTAGCATTTGTTCAACAATGCTATTAGAAGACGCTTTGCTTACCTGGATCCTGAACATTGTTCTGGCCATTCCCGAAGAAAATGCACCTCATGCTCTTTAGGGACGGCGACTCCTTCAGTCACAGAATCATTTGTTTCTAGTCTCGCATGTGAGGGGGTGATAAGAGAGCTGGTACGAAAAGATTTTATTGCTAGGGCATGACTCTTCTTCCGAAAGGAAAGGGAAGAGCCAAATCTTTGTACAAATGAGGTTACTGGACCGGAAGAGCAGTAGATCTGGCTGAAAAATTGCAAAAAAGACAAAAAGCCTCGCCAGTCGAGACAGCTATTTATTTACCTTGCTACTCTTTGGCCGGGCAATTAGTTGGAGATCTGTGCTCAATCGACCTCAACAACAAAACAAACTCATC